CATTATTATGATTATAATAACATTATGATGTTAATAACAACCATTTCATATAAAATTATTATCCTACGTTATGATGTTAATAACAACCATTTCATATAAAATTATTATCCTACGTTATGATGTTAATAACAACCATTTCATATAAAATTATTATCCTACGTTATGACGTTAATAACAACCTTTTTATATAAAATTATTATCCTACGTTATGACGTTAATAACAACCATTTCATATAAAATTATTATCCTACGTTATGATGTTAATAACAACCATTTCATATAAAATTATTATCCTACGTTATGATGTTAATAACAACCATTTCATATAAAATTATTATCCTACGTTATGATGTTAATAACAACCATTTCATATAAAATTATTACCTACGTTATGACGTTAAAACAACCATTTCATATAAAATTATTATCCTACGTTATGATGTTAATAACAACCATTTCATATAAAATTATTATCCTACGTTATGATGTTAATAACAACCATTTCATATAAAATTATTATCCTACGTTATGATGTTAATAACAACCATTTCATATAAAATTATTATCCTACGTTATGATGTTAATAACAACCATTTCATATAAAATTATTACCCTACGTTATGACGTTAAAAACAACCATTTCATATAAAATTATTATCCTACGTTATGATGTTAATAACAACAATTTCATATAAAATTATTATCCTATGTTATGATGTTAATAACAACCATTTCATAAATAAATTATTATCCTACGTTATGATGTTAATAACAACCATTTCATATAAAATTATTATCCTACGTTATGATGTTAATAACAACCATTTCATATAAAATTATTATCCTATGTTATGATGTTAATAACAACCATTTCATATAAAATTATTATCCTACGTTATAACGTTAATAACAACCATTTCATATAAAATTATTATCCTACGTTATGACGTTAATAACAACCATTTCATATAAAATTATTATCCTACGTTATGACGTTAATAACAACCATTTCATATAAAATTATTATCCTACGTTATGATGTTAACAACAACCATTTCATATAAAATTATTATCCTACGTTATGATGTTAATAACAACCATTTCATATAAAATTATTATCCTAAGTTATTATGTTAATAACAACCATTTCATATAAAATTATTACCCTACGTTATGACGTTAATAACAACCATCTCATATAAAATTATTATCGTACGTTATGACGTTAATAACAACCTTTTTTATATAAAATTATTATCCTACGTTATGATGTTAATAACAATCATTTCATATAAAATTATTACCCTACGTTATGACGTTAATAACAACCATTTCATATAAAATTATTATCCTACGTTATGACGTTAATAACAACCATTTCATATAAAATTATTATCCTACGTTATGATGTTAATAACAACCATTTCATATAAAATTATTACCCTACGTTATGACGTTAATAACAACCATTTCATATAAAATTATTATCCTACGTTATGATGTTAATAACAACCATTTCATATAAAATTATTATCCTACGTTATGACGTTAATAACAACCATTTCATATAAAATTATTACCCTACGTTATGATGTTAATAACAACCATTTCATATAAAATTATTATCCTACGTTATGATGTTAATAACAACCATTTCATATAAAATTATTATCCTAAGTTATTATGTTAATAACAACCATTTCATATAAAATTATTACCCTACGGTTATGACGTTAATAACAACCATCTCATATAAAATTATTATCCTACGTTATGACGTTAATAACAACCTTTTTATATAAAATTATTATCCTACGTTATGATGTTAATAACAACCATTTCATATAAAATTATTACCCTACGTTATGACGTTAATAACAACCATTTCATATAAAATTATTATCCTACGTTATGACGTTAATAACAACCATTTCATATAAAATTATTATCCTACGTTATGATGTTAATAACAACCATTTCATATAAAATTATTACCCTACGTTATGACGTTAAAAACAACCATTTCATATAAAATTATTATCCTACGTTATGATGTTAATAACAACAATTTCATATAAAATTATTATCCTACGTTATGATGTTAATAACAACAATTTCATATAAAATTATTATCCTACGTTATGATGTTAATAACAACCATTTCATAAATAAATTATTATCCTACGTTATGATATTAATAACAACCATTTCATATAAAATTATTATCCTTATGATATGTGTTAATAACAACCATTTCATATAAAATTATTATCCTATGTTATGATGTTAATAACAACCATTTCATATAAAATTATTATCCTACGTTATAACGTTAATAACAACCATTTCATATAAAATTATTATCCACGTTATGACGTTAATAACAACCATTTCATATAAAATTATTATCCTACGTTATGACGTTAAGAACAACCATTTCATATAAAATTATTACCCTACGTTATGATGTTAACAACAACCATTTCATATAAAATTATTACCCTACGTTATGATGTTAATAACAACCATTTCATATAAAATTATTATCCTAAGTTATTATGTTAATAACAACCATTTCATATAAATTATTACCCTACGTTATGACGTTAATAACAACCATCTCATATAAAATTATTATCCTACGTTATGACGTTAATAACAACCTTTTTTATATAAAATTATTATCCTACGTTATGATGTTAATAACAACCATTTCATATAAAATTATTACCCTACGTTATGACGTTAATAACAACCATTTCATATAAAATTATTATCCTACGTTATGACGTTAATAACAACCATTTCATATAAAATTATTATCCTTCGTTATGACCTTAATAACAACCATTTCATATAAAATTATTATCCTACGTTATGACGTTAATAACAACCATTTCATATAAAATTATTATCCTACGTTATGATGTTAATAACAACAATTTCATATAAAATTATTATCCTACGTTATGATGTTAATAACAACCATTTCATATAAAATTATTATCCTACGTTATGATGTTAATAATAACAACCATTTCATATAAAATTATTATCCTACGTTATGATGTTAATAACAACCATTTCATATAAAATTATTATCCTACGTTATGATGTTAATAACAACCATTTCATATAAAATTATTATCCTACGTTATGACGTTAATAACAACCATTTCATATAAAATTATTATCCTACGTTATGATGTTAATAACAACAATTTCATATAAAATTATTATCCTACGTTATGACGTCAATAACAACCATTTCATATAAAATTATTATCCTACGTTATGACGTTAATAACAACCATTTCATATAAAATTATTATCCTATGTTATGACGTTAATAACAACAATTTCATATAAAATTATTACCCTACGTTATGATGTTAACAACAACCATTTCATATAAAATTATAATTATAGAATTATTATCCTACGTTATGACGTTAATAAAAACCATTTCATATAAAATTATTACCCTACGTTATGATGTTAATAACAACAATTTCATATAAAATTATTATCCTACGTTATGATGTTAATAACAACCATTTCATATAAAATTATTATCCTACGTTATGATGTTAATAACAACCATTTCATATAAAATTATTATCCTACGCTATGACGTTAATAAAAACCATTTCATATAAAATTATTATCCTACGTTATGACGTTAATAACAACCATTTCATATAAAATTATTACCCTACGTTATGATGTTAATAACAACCATTTGATATAAAATTATTACCCTACGTTATGATGTTAATAACAACCATTTCATATAAAATTATTATCCTAAGTTATTATGTTAATAACAACCATTTCATATAAAATTATTACCCTACGTTATGATGTTAACAACAACCATTTCATATAAAATTATTATCCTAAGTTATTATGTTAATAACAACCATTTCATATAAAATTATTATCCTACGTTATGACGTTAATAACAACCATTTCATATAAAATTATTATCCTACGTTATGACGTTAATAACAACCATTTCATATAAAATTATTATCCTACGTTATGATGTTAATAACAACCATTTCATATAAAATTATTATCCTACGTTATGATGTTAATAACAACCATTTCATATAAAATTATTATCCTACGTTATGATGTTAAAAACAAACATTTCATATAAAATTATTATCCTCATGATGTTAATAACAACCATTTCATATAAAATTATTATCCTACGTTATGACGTTAATAACAACATTTTTTATATAAAATTATCATCCTACGTTATGACGTTAATAACAACCATTTCATATAAAATTATTATCCTACGTTATGATGTTAAGAACAACCATTTCATATAAAATTATTATCCTAGGTTATGATGTTAATAACAACCATTTCATATAAAATTATTATCCTACGTTATGACGTTAATAACAACCATTTCATATAAAATTATTATCCTACGTTATGACGTTAATAACAACCATTTCATATAAAATTATTATCCTAAGTTATTATGTTAATAACAACCATTTCATATAAAATTATTACCCTACGTTATGACGTTAATAACAACCATTTCATATAAAATTATTATCCTACGTTATGATGTTAATAACAACAATTTCATATAAAATTATTATCCTACGTTATGACGTCAATAACAACCATTTCATATAAAATTATTATCCTATGTTATGATGTTAATAACAACCATTTCATATAAAATTATTATCCTACGTTATGACGTTAATAACAACCATTTCATATAAAATTATTATCCAACGTTATGATGTTAATAACAACAATTTCATATAAAATTATTATCCTACGTTATGACGTCAATAACAACCATTTCATATAAAATTATTATCTTACGTTATGACGTTAATAACAACCATTTCATATAAAATTATTATCCTAAGTTATTATGTTAATAACAACCATTTCATATAAAATTATTATCCTATGTTATGATGTTAATAACAACCATTTCATATAAAATTATTATCCTACGTTATGACGAGCGAACTTCTTAGCAACGTAAGATGTCCCTCGTGATGCTGAGGAAAATGACGATAGAGATAATCCGTTACCAGGCATTGGACGATAGAGTCGCCTAGCAGCTCCATTCGTTGATTGTCACCACTAAAACAGAACTCTGTCATCTTGAACTATTTCAAACTGGATAGTTAAAACATAATTAAAATATCGATAAATAAAAAATTTGAAAACCGAGAAATGCAACAGATAAAAAAGAAGAGTTTACGGCAGTTGCGAATTCTATTGTAATCTCATCATTACAAAGAAACCCGTCTATTGTAATTCTCCCTATAATGACTGATGATGATTTTGCTTTTGTACCTGCATTATTAACAAGTTACTGACGAGTTGCCAACGTGTTGCCCCAACCTATACGTGCTTTTGAATCTATTTTGCGCCTTTTTCATTTACTTTAGGTGTAATTCGTGTCTATTTTCGTTTCTTTTAATTCAAATAATGAACTAACTATGTAATAAAAACTAAATAAAAAATAACAACAAAAATGAAAAACCAAATAAGTAAAAATGGAAATAAACAAAGAGTAAAACCTACAGGTGTAAAACACCTGGTGTAAACTTAAAGGAACTACAGGTATAAACTGAAGAATGGAATGGATGGAACGGAATGGAACGGAAGGAACGGAAGGATGGAGAACCAAAACCCGTGAACTTCAGGAAACGGAAGGGAAAACCTAAGGTGTAAAACTGAAGGAAAACGAAGGAACCACGAGGAAACTTCAGGAACGGAGGTGTAAAACCTACAAAAACGTACAGGAAAACCCAAGGTGTAAAACCTAGTGTAAAACCGGCAAGAGTAAAATCTACAAGTGCAGTAAAAACAAGTATAAAATCTTACAGCGTTAAATTATTGAAGCCAACTTGAGCGTGAGTAAATGCCCTCGCCAGAAGACGAATGTGATTAAAACGTACTCCAATTGACTCTTCAAGACTGACAAGACCCTGTATCGAGAATAAGAAAAAATCATTACACATTCTAGGTAATCAAAGTGCAAAACAAATACTCTTCAAGGGGGATGGTGAAACTGGGAAACGCACAATGAACAAGATAAAAATGTTTCTCTATTGAAAGCAATGTCATTGACATTCCCCATGATGATGTCATTATCACTCCTATGATGATGTCATTGACACTCGTCATGATGATGTCACTATCACTCCCCATGATGATGTCATTGACACTACTCATGATTATGTCATTGTCACTCTCCATGATGATGTCATTAGCACTTCTCGCGATGACATCATTAGCAATCCCCAAGTAAGTGTGAAAGAAAAGTCGTGCCTAATATGTTTTTTCTGGACGACCAACAAACATTAGGCAAAATACCAATATGAATGCTTAGTGAAATCTCAACTCCTACGTTCGCTTTCAAACTTTCAGTGCGGTAGTAAAGGCAACCTTAACTTTACTTTTATTTTTCAACAAAAAAATCATCGTTCTTTTCTTTAGAAAGTTAACTTCATTCATTATTTACGCAGAAAAACATTTTCATTGTTGGAGTAAAAAACGAGCTGACTTTGATACACAGGTCTTGCGTGTTTCAACCACCAGGAAACACCGCTATCTCTTACCTTGAGAACTTCTGAAGATGGAATGATATGACGATCTCCTCCTGGTTCTTGTTCCTAAATTGATGATGAACGCATATAGAACTGCTCACGTGACAGGAACATTCACAAATTAGCAAATATACGAAACCTGAAGCGGATGCTTCGGTAGAGCACACCATAATTTACGAAGTTCCTGCAACATAAAAAGACGAATGAATCGCGTAAACTCAGCTTAAACAATCATCAAAAACGTGATTTCGAGTGAATTTCAAAGTTTCGGCCTTCACAAACTCACCGTTTCCTCAAAGACGAGTTCACAAAACACCTTTTGTACGCTTCCTATACCTGAATCTAAATAAACAGCGCCTGTAGAAAAGATCGAAAATAAGTTTAGTGAGCATTTCCTAACGATGACATTCAATTATTAAGAAGTAACTGTAACAGTACAGTGAAAGAAAAAAAAATGAAATACGAAGGAATAGTCAATAAAGGTTCCTATACAGTAGTTTGTAACAAACACGAAAGAGTAGTCCTGGGGCCGATAGCAGGAAGTCTGAATAGAGTTATTCATTGGATACTACATTTTCTGACTTTAAAAACGCCGAGTGAATATATTTTCCTTACGACAACGAGCTGTTGTAATCATAGAAGCGATATTTTATTTCGGTGTTTGCTCAGTTCAAATCGCATATTTTACCCTTTGACTTCAAAAAAATTTGCTATTCAGTGCGTAGCGCTAGGTCTTAAGGATTTAAGAATATTACAGATTCATTTCTTTACAAATCTTCAAAAATTCTTTGTACAGTGAGTTAGCATCATTGAACTAAAACACACGAAACGCTAACTGAAGCAAATTAATGAAGCCAAATCTTAAACACAGACTGGCGAGATTACACCCAGACACGCGTGTTTAGTGTTTCAAGATTATCTCGCGGAGTGAAAGTCGATTGAGTACACACGCGTGTCTGGGTATAATCTCGCATGACGAGGTGTAAGATTTGGCTTCAAAAAATTATTAGACTTTTCTATTACAGGTAGCGTTCCATGTATTATTTTTTTATAGTTCAGTGAGTTAGCACAGACTGAACACTACATTAAGGAGTACCTAACAAAGCTTCAAGACAATTCGCCATCGCATGATTCATATCATCTTTATGGCAAAGATCCGGTCTAGAACAAAGTCGGAATGTCAGTCCAATGCAAATGACAGAAACATAGGATAACACAGAAAAATTACCCGTGAGAAAATAACATGTAATTGTCCAACTGGAGTTTCTGAAACGACAAAAATGACATATCAGCACATTAAATTTCCGGACTCACATTAACCAAAGGAGGTCTGAGTCCTAGTATGAAGATGGTCCACATGAGCAGATGGTATAATGTCAGGTACTTTATGACATTGCACAGGGTGACTGTAATATTAACTGGAACGCTAACTGCGCCGCCATCTTTGAAGCAAATACTGATGATAGTATTTTAACAAATTAACAACGATATACATAAATACAGTAGCACAAATGACCATGATAAATTTTGCTTCAATTTTCTCTCACAAGATCATGTAATAAGCCTAAAAACGCAGATAAAAAGGCATCATAGCTGGCTTAAAAATGGCCTCTAGCCTCTTGTATTGGATTCTAAATTTTCTCTCACAAGATCATGTAATAAGGCTAAAAACGCAGATAAAAAGGCATCATAGCTGGCTTAAAAATGGCCTCTAGCCTCTTGTATTGGAGTTATAGCGTTCCAGTTGATATTATAGTTCAATGTATTGGAGTTAGCGCTCCAGTCACTATTATAGTTCAGTGTATTGGAGTTAGCGCTCCAGTTGATATTAAAGTAAATGGTTTGAACCCGGGAGTATCATTACATGTTTGTAAATATAGGTCGTCCAGGTTGGTATAGTCCTGAGAAGGACTGTTTTTGTTGTTGTTGACTGACGTTTCGACAACCTTAGCGGTAGTCATTTTCAGAGTCAAATGAGGAGTAAACGTCAGGTGAGCCGTATTTGTTATCTGGTTCTTACGTCATTGTATTGTGTGTACAGGAAATGTGTATTGTCATTGTGAATAATAGTTGATTCGTCTGTGACAGTCGTTAATCCGTGCTCGTATCAGTCGTCTGCTGGTGGATTTGACAATCTGAATAGCCTCTTGTGTGTTCAACAGGGACTTAATTCTAAGTCCTACCGGAACGAGACCAAAATCCTTGCAGCGGTGGTTGAACCAGAGTTGTTGGAGTATGCGTCTGACGTTGCATGCAAAACGTATGTAGTCTTTAGCAAGTTGTTCGCTCTGTCGTCCAAATGATCGTAATAAAGTAAATGGTTTGAACCCGGGAGTATCGTTACAATGTTGATATTATAGTTGATATTATAGTTCAATGTATTGGAGTTAGTGCTTCAGTTGATATTATAGTTCAATGTATGGGAATAAGCGCTCCAGTTAATATTATAGTTCAATGTATTGGCGTTGGTGTTCCAGTTGATATTTCTGTTCGATGATATTGCATCACGACGTTGGGAAAACAGCAGTCATCGCATTTGGGTCGTTATATTTAGTATAACCAATGAATATTAGCCATACTATACTCTATAGAACGCATGCGTAAACCCAAGAATTTGAAATCAGCGAAACGAAGAACGAACGATTTCTTTCAAACGATGTTTGTAACCTTCGATTCGTATAGAAACAAAAGGCTTGTTGCCTTCTATACGACATAGTATGAGCCAGCCAGTCCTCCGAAGTTGTTAGAAAGGTACCTTAGCAATGTGAGCCAAATGTTTATTTTGCACCAACGAAGATCTGTGGGCTACCAGTCCCCCCTCGGCCATGTCGGGAAACAAGAAATACAAATGAGAAGTGCAGATGAATTCCAATATGGCGTCTCCAAGAAATTCCAGACGCTCGTTGTGATGAATGCTGGACATAAGGGAGACAATAGCGTAAAAAAGTCGAGTATTAAACAACTACATGATAATTGAACCGAGTAGGTAGAATGGGAAAGACAGTTTGGTTTTCAAAACGAGTACAGTACCTCAAAGACACAACAAAAAGTTTGAAAGACTTACAATGAATGGCTACCGTCGAGATCTTCCAGTTTCGACATAGTGTTGATGAGCTGTACAATCCCTAAACACAATATCATGCTTTTTTAGTTGTAATTTCGATTGCATGTTTTGAAAAATCGTAGGTTACATAGCAAAAGAAGAAAGAAAGAGGAGGGCTGATGGGAGATGGTGAGAAAAGAAAGTCGACACCCTATCGCAGGTAGATTGCTTATTGATTTCCATACCTTTCTTCCTACGCTGTGACAAACGTTGCGTCTTATCAGCATACCTGGGTTCTTTAACCCCGCAGTTTGATAGGCTGTTGCGGGCATGATCAGCATTCGTACCGTAGTTCATGACGTATGATGGATGCGTAAGAGCGAGCTGAAAGATAAACGTGTAAAGGTACATATCTATCCGACTACAATAAATTGTACAATAAGTTCATTGACCAGACTTAATATCAACTTGAATGGCTATAGACTCAACAAAACCCACACATTATTTTAGGTGGTGTTCCCTTAAAAAAGCAAAAGAAAAAATTGCTTGAACTTATGCATTCTATAACATGGGGAACAGTTCTACGGACATTTGTTGAAAGAGAATCATATTTGTCACCATTCCCATACTCTGAGTAAATGTGCGCATGACACAAGAGCAGTAACTGACCTGTAAAAGAGATCTATCTTTAAATGTGTAAGCCAAGCGTTTATCCAAACTGAACAAGCTTAAATGAAAGCGGACATGATGAACCAGAACAGGAAGAACCATTGCATGCTGAAAACAGAAAGTCGACATACACAATTCACGATGACGGCCTTACGGAATTATGTTTATGACGGGGAAGGGGGGGGAGGGGTAAGGAAAAAAGTCTCTTGTTCTAAGGGCAGTTTAGGGAAGGGCAGCTTAAAAAACAATGATAAAGAAATCATAGAGATATTTTATCACAACTCATTAAGTAGAGCAACGAGTTATGTTGGAAAGAAACTGGGCCCTAAAAACCTTCATTATTACCGCTATTTGAGTGAAAACAATTAAGAAATAAAAATTTTTTACTGTGTTTGCACGAGCTTATGCAAACCGAGGAGACCTTTGGGAGAACTCGAGAGCAGATCAGTACAAGCCCGAGACCGAAGGTCGAGGGTTGCACATGCTCGAGAGTTCTCACAAACTTCTCTGAGGTTTGCATAAGCCATCTGGTGCAAACACGAAAAACATCCTTTATTTCTTTTATAGAATAACAATAATGCGAAACAAATAAAACGTTTTAACATTCTTCTAATGTGTATTCATGATTGATTTCAAACTCTCTTCGATTGATTGAATGATATGATTGGTTGTGCTCTGATCGTTTTGCACAGGCTAATGCAAACACAGCTCTAGACCAATCAGCGCACGCGTTTCATCGTGTTTATTTTATAATCTATGTTAAAACAAAGCCTGTTATATAAACTATGCACGCAAAAACTCGTATCCCACTGAGCGATTGCTGTAACCTACCGGTGGATAATGCAGGGTAGAAGAGGATTGTGGTGTTAAAATGTATCAGCATATACACCGTGGACTAACAAACCTGAGTGACATCCGAGTTTAATCCGGTTTTCATCATGTCACGTGCGCTAACACGAACACAACAACTTCGTCGAAGTGAACTGAAAAGGAAATTTCGCTGCGCAATGCATTATCTGCTACTGCAAGCTTGTAGGTCAGCGTAAAATGTGAAGCAACAGTATCATGTTTGAAAAAATATTAAGGCAGAAATTATATTATTTTGAGTTTCTTCTTTGAGGATTTCCGATAAAACTTACTCTTTCATTTTCATGTTGTCCAAAGTCAACTGGAAAGAAATGATAGTTTGTTGATCAGTAAAAGACAGCAAAAACATTTCAAGGATTTTCAATTTTGTTATTCACACAAGGAAAGGGTTGTACAGTTGTACTCGGGGATTCGTTCATATTTTAAATATGATAAAAACAACGACAGGCTTCGGGTTTATGATCTCAATATTCAGGAAATTCTTATGGTCGATACTCGAATGTGAGATATCTTAGAAAATGTTACATCACGTATCAAACTTCAAAAGAATGACAAAAAAAATACAACAACGCCTTTATGGTTTCTCTCCTGGTCCAAGACGAAACACTACGTACTCAGTAAGCTTTACCTTCAACTTGATTAGGCGTAATCGTTCATTCTTAGATACTCCACGGCTGAAAACAATACATTCGTACATATAAATTCGAACTACCATTTCATTAAACATTTGCTTCAATTAACAAAATTTCACGCCTCTAAATCGCAAACTTTTGCCATAGAATATTAACATAATTAACCTAGAGTAAGTCATCTCCGATGGTTTTGGAGCAAGCGTCAAACCCCCCCTCCTCCCCGAGGTATTTTCAACGTTGCAGGGGGAGGCAATGGCCTCTTTTTTGTAAGATTACATCATGCATCGGCAATCACAATGGCAAAAAGTGCTTTAACGAACTTACTTGTTTTGAACCACAGATCTCAACTTTAAATACTTATTTTTGATTCTTCGACATCTAAACACACGAGTAAAGAGACACAGTCAAAGAGCAAAAGCTTACTTTTCCCAATTTATCAAAGAGTAGGATCTTTATTAATGTATTTCACCGAACTGACGACGTAAGTAAAGCTGCCTTACTTTGGATGTCCAGAGAAACTGAGCTGAACTGGTCTTATGCCCTTGTGAACAATCATGGCTTCACCCTGAGAAATTAAAGACAAAAATTTTTTTAGGGAAATATGGCATCAAGCGTATCCTTATGACAAAATTTGCATTTGAATCAACTGCTGAAATAGACGAAAAAAAACTGGAGAAATCTTTATGAACATTATGCTAATATATGATTTCGCTTAACCGGTCAATGAAAAAATACGGCAAACATGTATGCATATTTCAGATACAAAAAATGTAAAGATATTTCTTTCACATTATGAAGAAATCGTCTATAATAAAAAACAAGTGCCCATATTGCTACGAAAAGCTGCCGTTTTTCTTATTGAGATTTTCGAACACAACAACATCCTTAACGCTTTTGGTGATGCCGAACACAACAACATCCTTAACGCTTTTTGGTGATGCCGAACACAACAACATCCTTAACGCTTTTTGGTGAGGCCGAACACAACAACATCCTTAATGCTTTTGGTGATGCCGAACACAACAACATCCTTAACGCTTTTTGGTGAGGCCGAACACAACAACATCCTTAACGCTTTTTGGTGAGGCCGAACACAACAACATCCTTAATGCTTTTGGTGAGGCCGAACACAACAACATCCTTAATGCTTTTTGGTGATGCCGAACACAACAACATCCTTAACGCTTTTGGTGATGCCGAACACAACAACATCCTTAACGCTTTTGGTGATGCCGAACACAACAACATCCTTAACGCTTTTCGGTGAGGCCGAACACAACAACATCCTTAACGCTTTTGGTGATGTCGAACACAACAACATCCTTAACGCTTTTTGGTGAGGCCGAATACAACAACTTCCTTAACGCTTTTTGGTGATGCAAATGTTAAAAATATACTGCCGTCAATGGTTCATGGTAAGGCTACCTTGTTGGTTCTTTCAATGTCATCCACCCTGATCGAGCTGGGTTTCTATGTATAGTAAAATGAACAATAAAATGAATAAACAAAGACATGGGACAATATCAAAAAAAAAGCAAAAAAAGAAATGGCTGTAAATGAACACATAATTTTTTTAAGTTTTAACATAGTTAACACAGGCAGAATCGAAGCGCCGAGTCCTTGCAAGTTTCATTCCTGCTACGTAAATATCATGGCATTATCATAAGCAAAGAAAAAATTACATAGCACGACGAAATTTGCGGGGTTGATTGCGTCACTGAACACAGATGTTGGTCAATCTTACCCAGCCAGGTTTCATGACAATGCTATTCACACAAGAATAAACGTATTCTTTCCACAATCCTTTCTCCAGACTCAATATTTCCTTAAGAATAACATAGTGAGCAATTAAACAAGAGTAAGTCATATTTCATGACTTTTCCCAAGTTTGACATTTGGTGCACGAGTTATCGGTTTCTGATCATACTTTGCATCATGGACAGATTTTCTGGGCGGTGCAGGAGGATGCCAACCCCCCCAAAAAAATATCAGATTCCACCCCTAAATAATTTGTTCGTCTCTGCCAGAACCATTTTAATCCTCGAATTTTTATAAAAACAAGTCAGTAGGACATTTGAACTTAGTTTATTCTGGGCATTTTTACTATTTTCTATATAACCTTTGGTGACTGCTCTACCCGACCGACCATAACATAGTCAGTCCCTAACTTTCTCTTACGTCACTTCCTTAACTGGTAAATCCCCAAAAATTTTAGCTATACTATCTTTGGTGACTGCTCTACCCGACCGACCATAACATAGTCACTTCCTAACTTTCTCTTACGTCACTTTCTTACCGCCTCACCCCCTAAAATTTTTAGCTATACTATCTTTGGTGACTGTTCTACCCGACCGACCATAACATAGTCACTTCCTAACTTTCTCTTACGTCACTTTCTTACCGCCTCACCCCCGAAAATTTTTACTTATACTATCTTTGGTGACTGCTCTACCCGACCTACCTAAACACAGTCACTCCCTTTCTTTCTCTTAGGTCACTTTCTTACCGCCTCACCCCTTAAAATTTTTAGCCCTCCCACCATAAAAGTATGAAAGTCCTTTCATGCTTTGCATTTAGCAAATAAATTCTTAATTTTACATCGATATCACAAGAAAATAAAGCATATTATGAAATAACCTCACCTCACTTATTAATGGCTTATGACTTTCCAAAAGATATTTCCAGACACTTGTCATTGACAAGAGTTCGTATTTCTCTCGTCCATCATCATTCTCTATAGAAAATACACCGTCAAGTTGCGGTCATGCAATGCATGATGGGTAAATCGATAATTTCAATAATTACTAATTATTTTGACATCACATTCGGTATGGCGATTACTATCATGGATTGACTGTCGTCACCTTCCTTTACTGGTAATATTATAAGCTAGTAAAATCAATACATGATCTTAATCTTGTAAACTAACAAAAACGAAATGTTGTGACTACGACGGTTGGCATAATTTGTGGAATGACAGGCCTTTCGTAAAAAAGATACGCTTTATCCGGTAGCTTATGAAGCCATTGGAATCTAGGTGTTTGGGCAACCAAAGTTTTTTAAGTGAGGGTGCCCTTATTGGAAAGACACTCACAAATTCAGCTTCTTCCTTGAATGTTTTTTTTCAGTTGTACTAACTTTTCAAATCGATGTAAAGAGCTTTCCCTCAGACATGATGCAGTCAGAAGAAAACTGTATAAAGATAACTAATATCAAGCACTTTCATAACTTCAATTGTGTGTGATCACATAGAGGGCACATTGAACACTCACAACATCTAAAAGCTTTCAACCCCCTTATTTCCAAGACCTGCAACGTACCACTTATTCTGCGCGTAAATCTTGGTAAGAAGTAGAATAGATCACAAAAATCGCTGTCGTGATCTAAACAGAACAAATGCATCATGCAGAAAATCATTGATCTAATGTTATAGAAAAAAATGCAGCAAAATACATGACAGACAACTCGACCAAATGAATGTATACTCGTTCTCAGTCCGTAGACAAATGAGTGTATACTCGTTCTCAGTCCTTAGACAAATGAATATATACTCGTTTTCAGTCCTTAGACAAATGAATATATACTCGTTCTCAGTCCTTAAACAAATGAATATAAACTCATTCTCAGTCCTTAGTCAAATGAATATATACTCGTTCTCAGTCCTTAAACAAATGAATATAAACTCATTCTCAGTCCTTAGTCAAATGAATATATACTCGCTCAGACAAATGAATATAAACTCGTTCTCAGTCCTTAGACAAATGAACATACACTCGTTCTCAGTCCTTAGACAAATAAATATATATACTCGTTCTCAGACAAATGAATATATGCTCGTTCTCAATCCTTAGACAAATGAATATACACTCGTTCTCAGACAAATGAATATATACTCGTTCCCAATCCTTAGACAAATGAATACACTCGTTCTCAGTTCTTCGACGAATGAATATATACTCGTTCTCAGTCCTAAGACACATGAGCCTATACTCGTTCTCAACCTTTAGACAAGGGAATAAACTTGTTGTCAACATTGGCATTGACAGCCATTAATTAAGTCCAGTTATGTAAATCTTTCTGGACTCATCGTGTAAACAAATGATGTATAAAGAAATGAACAATGATGTTCTAAAATTTATATAGCAGGACCTGCAAGTTTGCAAGTTTACGACACTGGTTCTCAGTCCTTAGACAAACGAGCAAACTCTGTTTTCGGGACTCGGAATAACTAGCCACCAGCCACAGTGTTGAAATTTCAACAAACTTCTCTGTAGGCAAGGCTGCAGCCAGGGCATGTATTTAGTCGTGCTATGCAAAGTTTCAAGTGTCATCTCACTGTAAAAACAATACATTTCTAAATAAATAATGATAATATTCTTCAATAGACAACTTGCATTATTACATCACTTAGTAGTCACGCATATTGAAAACATTGCAATATAGCCACCCAGCGAAAGAGAGTTTACTGCTGTTCTTAGTCACGTTTCTGAGTCAAGAAGTACGACTGAAGGCCGTAGTTCTTTTGAGAACTCTTGCCTGGGTCAGCAGGAAACTTCTAGTTCAAAGTCGCGGCAAATTTACGTTGGACGATTTGATATTCGATATTTAAATCGATTGCCAACTATTGTTCGAAAGCCACAAAACCTTCTCAAATTAAAACTCGTCCAACTGAAAAGAATTAGGACAACTTTTGTTGGAATTAGCAAACGCTTGAAACCAAGCAGATTATTTCTCAAGTAAACTCTTCATGCAATATTGCAATGTTGTCATTTGCGTGACTGCTAAGTGACGTAATAATGCAAGTTGTTATTGTCAAAGGGACTAAAACTTGCAGGCTGGCCTTGCTACTAATAACCTTTCATTTGTCCAATAGTCCAGTCGTATAACCCAGGACATCGTGAAAAGAAATCTTGAAAACAGGCGAAGATCACGAACATCGAAATTCTGTAAATGTATGATGAAGAACACAAAAATTAATGCATGACGTCACGAACACGCGAGCCATGCGAATCTGACGTCACGAACACGCGAGTCATGCGAAACTGACGTCACGAACACGCGAGTCATGCGAAACTGACGTCACGAACACGCGAGCCATACGAAACTGAGATTCTTAGTGGTAAAACCTTGAATAATACTCACGTTGGGAACTGGTTCTTCGATAAAGAGTATTTCATATTCAAAGTTGAATCTCGTAAAAAAGCATTTGGGAATTGCATCAAGAGAGGAGGGAGAGGAGGGAAACCTTCAAAGATATACGTGTTTCCATTACATTGAATTTTTGTTGGATTTTCAGTCTAAGAAAAGAAAAATATGTTAATACGTATATACGTGTTTCCACCATTGAATTTTCGTTGTATTTTCAGTCTAAGAAAAGAAAATGTATGTTAATACATGCTGCTATATGTATCGTTTCTAGGTTTATGTGTAAGCTGCTAAGGAACATACTTTTATTAATATCACAACAAGAAAACGCATGCGTCGATTTGTCTATATCCGAGTTTGCATTAACATGTGCAAATCGATCTGAGCTCAATCAATTATTAAGTCAATCAAAGAGAATTTGCCAATTAATCATCAATACGTGTTACGGAAGAATTAAAACATTTGTTTTGAATTTATCTGTTTCGCATTACGATTTTACTGATTTTATAAAAGAAATAAAAGATGTTTTTCGTGTTTGCACAGGCTTATGCAAACTTCGGAGACGTTTGTGAAAACTCTCGAGCCTGTAGAAACCTTCGGTCAGCGGTCCTGCTCTGCTCTCAAGTTCTTCCAAAGTCTCCTCGGTTCGCTTGAGGCTGTGCAAACACAGAGTAAAGATCTTCTCGTAGCTTATCAGCAAGATCGATGCTTACGAATCAAATACAAAATACATACCAGAACGTGATCAAAACTAATATTCTTTAAACAGTACTTAAAAGTACATCACCAAACGAAGTAATTTTATTTTCACTTGGAATTGGCTTTGAAAAGCCTCTTTGCGGTGAATTCAATAAATATTGTATTGCACTGTATGTCTGATGCCACGCAACTCACTTATACAAAGGATTCATAAATGTTTGTAGGATCTTACCATGAAATTGGAATGAGGGTAGACTGTGATCCAGTAGTGATGTAGATGTTTTAATTCGTCTTCTTCCATTGCTTTACATGGCTCCGGCAACTGAAGAATCACAAATGCTGGTAACGCATAAAAATAAAGGGAAAAGACAAAACCGAACACCTTTCATCGAGATAAATGTCGTGAACGATCCATTTCTTTTGATCTTGCACACTGCACAAACATTTCTTACCCTGGTTAACCTAGAAAACAGACGAGAAAATGTACGATTGGATGTTACCATATTTCACACCATGTTGATCTCAAAAGGACAAGGAAAGGTTATTCGGCAAGAGTAAATAGTTGCATGCAATGTCATGCTCATTATCCATCAACTTCTGAAAGATGACATGCAAGCCATGAAAACGGTAAACACATTTTTCTCAACTGCTAGCACAGAGAACGCACGCGCTCTGCAATCAGGATCAATTTTCACTCAGGTAAAATCCAAAGTCAATTTGAAATTTCTATAACATGAAAGCCACCCTAATGTCACCATATTCTGTAAGAAAGCCATCCTACAGTCACCATATGCTGTAAAAGCCACCCTACAGTCACCATATGCTGTAAGAAGAAAGCCACCCTACAGTAACCATGCTGTAAGAAGGAAGCCAGCCTGAAAGTTTTGGTCATGCTATGTAAATTTTCTAGCATTATCACAATTCGCTATAACAGACAATATTTTAATATATAACGAAGGATACAGCTAATATACAGACTATAACGCGCGCTGCTACTGATATTTATAAAACATTAAATTATTAACACTTGATTATTAAAGAATATTTCTACCACGCGCTGGGTTTTAAGACCATCAAAAGCCACTAGTTGTCGCAGAATTCACTGAGTTCGTCCAGAAAATTGATCTGCACTCTGATTCGGTTTGTTTTATGGAGTTTATTAGCAATGAACAATCTACACAATCTCTCCGACTATTACAAATTTGAGTCTATTTATATGTTTACATTTCGTGACTTACGTGCACTATTACAACATGAATTAATTAAGAGAGAAAATACTTAGGAAGTGTTAAGTATATACACCCTAATTTTAATTATAATTTTGGCACACATAAAACTCTGCATGAGAACTTATAAAATCTGGCATGCAATAAAAATATAAATGAAATATCCTAAATTATACAACACTTCCCCTTGACTCACTCAGGAGTCAAGCATCGCCCTAACCTTCCACCTGGCGTCCAAAGCCGCCTTTCTCTTAGTCTTCCTTACATCCGCTAACTATATCCTCCTTAACAACCCTTCAACCTTACTCTCGTCTTTAACCTCAACTGGATATAAATGCTGAATCGCTCTATTCAACACCTGGCGACGACCGTTTGTCATCACGCAAACCCTTGCACCACGAACGACCTTATCCTTGCCACAAATCAATTCCTGAATCACACCTGTCTTCCACTCCCCCCTTTTCTTACCCTGCTCAAACACAATGACCACATCCCCTGGCTTAATTATCGCCGACTGTTTGTCTGCCATCCCAACCTTATGAAATTCCCGAAGATTCGTGAGATACTCCCGTTTCCACCTGCTCCAAAAATGCTCCAGTATGGTACTTAAATGTTTGAATCGTGTCCTAGTGTTTGTTCTAGTCGAATCTTGTCCTAAATCATTAATTTTTGAGTCCTTGCTATCGGGTAATGTCACGATGCGCCTACCATAGACTAAATGTGCAGGAGTAAGTACTTCACTATTCACTTCCTCGTACTCATACGTTAAGGGTCTAGAATTCAAATTAGCTTCAACTTCAGCTAGAACAGTTGTCAGTTCGTCGAAAGTAAGTTTTGCATTGCCCAAAACTTTCCTTAAACAGACTTTCACTAGCCCTATCATCCTTTCGAAAAACCCTCCCCACCATGGGGCCCTCTCTAGGTTAAATCGCCACTCAATGTTCTTAGCGCTAAGGCAATTATCTACTTCTTCGCATTGAAATAAGTCGCGCAACGTCTTTTTTGCGGCTTTAAATGTTTTGGCGTTGTCAGAAACAATAAGTTTCGGTGTTCCAAACCTTGCAAAAAATCTTCTTAAACAGCGCAGAAATGTCGCTGCACTCAAATCGTGCACTAACTCTAAGTGAACCGCGCGTGTCACACAGCAGGTGAACAGCGCAATGTACACCTTGCTCATACTTGCCTTTGTTTTACGTACAAAGGTCCTGCAAAATCTACGCCTGAATTTTCAAATGGTGCGGCTCTCCTAACCCTAAACTCTGGTAACGCTGCTTGCTTTATTTGTGTACACGGCTTACTGTTCCATCGTTTACAAGCTACACATCCACCGCTCACTCTCTTAACTTCCTGTCTGCCCTTGGGTACCCAATACTTCGACCTCAGTTGCGCCAACGTGCTCCGAACTCCCCCATGCATAACAGATTCATGACACTGCCTAATCACTAGCTCTGTGAAATACTGTCTCCTAGGCAAAACAATCGGCTCTCTAGCTTCTGCCTCCAAATCTGATTCACCCAATCTTCCCGTACAATGCAGTATCCCGTTCATTTCTATCAGTCCGTACTGTCTTTCTAACTGCTTAAACTCGGGTTGCTCTCGTAACTCTAGCTGGGCTGACTTTATCCACTCGCATTCTCCATCATTCATTTCGCTCGCTTTTATTGGTCCGGTAAAAATTTCTAATCCTAGTCTTTTTTGTTTCAAATTATAGACGAATCTCTTCACCCACGCAGTAACTCTTAACAGCCGTGTAAGTGTGCTGTATTTACTTATGCTAATGACATTGCCAATTCCAAACAATGACCTTGCACTTATGATTAGGTTAACAACAAATGACCTTTTCTTCAACCTTGCTGTCTACTGTGGGAACTATCTCCTTCACCATAGGATAATGCCTTGGACTACCCCGCAACCAAGACGGTCCTGACCACCAAACCTCCGCGTTCTTTAACTCAGTCATCAAGACCCTCGCGACCCTAAATCTGCGGGTTTTCCTTACCTGGACAATGACTCCACTCTGTTTTGAACTAAGCCTTAATATTTCGTCAACTCTATGCTGAACAAATTGCTTCCAATTGCCTGAGTTGACTATCCAATACAAAACAGTCATACTATCAGTCCAATACTTAACGCCCTCAAAATTATACTCTGACTCTAACGCTTTCCTGACTGCAGACATTAAATGAGCCAATATTCTAGCTGCCATTAATTCTAACCGCGGAATACTAAGTTCTTTCATCGGGGCTACTCTTGTTTTGCTGGCAATCAACTTAACACGAACATCGTTACCGTTCAAAACTACTAGATACACAACCGCACAATAAGCTCGCTTTGACGCATCCCCAAATCCGCCGCTCGAGTACCTGCTATTGAAACACTCTTTACCTCCTTTAGATCTCTCAACCACTTCTCCCACTTCTTCACACTTTTAGGCAATGTATCGTCCCAATCCACGCCACTGTAACAAATATCTTGAAAGAGAATTTTAGCTTTAACAATCGTAGGACTCAAGAGCCCTAATGGATCGAAGATACAAGCTAACAGACTCAACACATTTCTCTTCGTCGGTTCCGTGTTTTCCGCTTTCGCACTCAAATTTTCGAAATCGAATATTATTACGTCCCCGACGCTATCCCATTCCAACCCTAATACTTTACCAAATTGACCCTGTACTTGAGCAAGCGTGGTTTTCGCATACGTTTGCTCATCAACGCAACTACTTTCCACGTCACGCACATCTTCTTCAATTTGCGATCTTAACGCACTATCATTAGTCCGCCATTTGCGTAACTTAAATCCGCCTTCATTCATGCGTTCGTTGGCCTTACGATATAGCTGATACGCTCGCTCTGTACTAGATTCACCGCTGGCAAGATCGTCCACGTAAAAGCTTTTTTAGCAGTTTTTCTGAAAATTCCCTATCGCACTGTAAATATTTGCTAATATGATGCCTTAACGTCGAATTAAGCAAAAATGGTGACGAATTCACCCCAAATACGACTCTACAAAAACGGTAAACTACAAGATTCAAATTGTTGCGCAGTACATCATCTACCCACAAAAACCTTAGGCTATCTCGATCCCTTTCGTGCACTTCAATGTTTAGGAAGGCCTTCTCTATGTCCGCTATTAGCGCTATTCTTTGCTCACGGAACCTAAGCAGAATATCAAACAAAAGTGGATTAAGTGAAGGTCCGATATGCAAACAATCATTCAAAGAGACACTTGACTTGAGTACTTTAGCGCTTGCGTCATAAACCACTCTAACCTTTGTCGTCTTGGCATCCTTTCGCACGACAGCTTGATGAGGCATGTAATGTATTTTGGCATGAGAATTAATCACACTATCTTTTCCTACCCTCTCTATGATGCCTAACTCTTCTTGGGCCTTAATGATAGTGTCATATTCCTTCAGTAATTCTGGGTTCTTACCTAGTCGTCTGATTTGTCCCTTCATTCTCTTAAGACTTAAGTCATAGTTAGTAGGTAAAGGATCGTGACCCTCCCTCCAGGGCAACCCCACTGAATAACGCGTACCGTCAAAACCAAGATCGTTTATGACCGATTCATGCACATCACTTACTTTGTCCTTAATTCCTAGGCTTTCTAAATCCCAAAAGTTTTCTACGTTGATACAAGTTTTATTAGCGGAGCAAAAATTTACCTGAGCAGTGGCGGGTTGATTCTTATCCGTGTTTCCAACCGGCCCTGAAACTACCCATCCAAGCACCGTCTCGATAGCCACAGGCTCCCCCTGCTTCCCTCGCATAATACGACCTTTCTGCAACGACCACAAGTAATCCGCACCCACGAGTACGTTTACCTCCAATTCCTCATTCACCTTACAAACATCAGACAACCACAACCCCTTCAAATGTTCAAAGTTATTTCGAACCACCTCCAAATGTTGATTACTAATTACTGATATTTCTGGTACAACATATGCCTCGATAGATACGACTTCACCACCCGACAACGAACTCAAATCCAATCGCACAACCCTTCTCAACTCGTTCTCTAAAGCCCTTTTCCCAAACGTTCCTATTCTCAGATTTTCTTCACGAACGACTTTACATCCCAACGCTTTAGCCGTCCTTTCAGTAACAAATGATCTCTGACTCCCAGAATCCAACAAAACCCTTACTCGTCCCGACTTACTACCAACCAGTTTTGCTTGTGCAGTTTGCAAGGCAACATTGCATCCTGCTTTTTCACAACTATTCTTAGGACTTACAAATAGAGTATTACTACTATTGGCATCTACATTCTCAACCTCCCTTTGTCCAACAGTTCCCTGGGGCTTACTTTCCTTTCCCGAATCACACAGAGCCTTGTGGTGATTCTTCTTACATATACTACATTTAATATTGTTGTCACAGTCACGAGCCTTGTGGCCCTTTTCCAAACAAATATAACAACGACCGTATTTCTTAATAATATTCTTACGTTCCTCAATTGACTTGATCTTCTCACATTCTTCATGCCGATGACATCCCAGGCAGAATGCGCAACGAACCGGTCCCGATTTTGTCAGGAGGGCGCTTGCTGTTTTCGTATCGTTCCGCCTGGCTCCATTTGACGACTTCTCAGGATCACCATGCCGTTCTCGTTGCTCTCTCTGAACTCGATGCTCTTCTCGCAGCTCAACTTCGCACTTTAACGCTCTTAACATATCGTCCATATCCCACTGATGGAAGTTTTCGCTTCTCGTGATCAACAATCGAATCGATTCCGGTATCAAGTTCAAAACTTAAGGTACCACGATTGATGAATACGTAGCGCTGTCCACTCCCAATGCATCCAAGCCTCGATGATGTGCTTCGACACTGTAAGAAAGATCAGAGTAGTAATTATAAATGCATAATAGAAGAAAAACATGTCAATCAAAATGTCAGTAAAATATACATATCGATGGCGAACAATCTTGTTTCTATTTCGTACAAAGATTTATATTCCGAATGATCATTAAATGGCGCCCAACGTGGGGCCGGTAAGTAAGTATACGACGGTATTCTAGAACAGCTTCATTCGAAAACCAAGAAATGTCGAAGAATAATATTGAACGACTTCGCGCCAAACGAGGCGGTTATCGTGGCGTTTGTACAAGGCTTGTAAAAGAAGCACTCGAGCTTCTGGATGCCACTGAAGTAGACATCGAACGATGTAATGTCATCGCTGAACAACTTGAGTGTAAGATGAAGATCTTAGACGAAATAAACGACGAAATCATTGGGATATGCGATGTAACGGATATTGAACACGAAATTGAAGAAGCAGCCGCCGTCTCGGATAGAATTCTAAGCACCAGACGTAAAATCGAAGGAGCAAGAAAACCGGAGATTTGTCAAGAAACTATAAAAGAAGGCAAAGTCCTACACCACAAGTCGAACAGATTCCTTTAGTGGTAGCAACAGCAAGCACGAGTAACACAACGATAAGCAACGATGAGAATAATACGTACGCGGATGCTGTTAATACGAACACGAATGCGGTGAACACGAATACGAATGCAGTTAACACGAATACGAATGCGGTTAATACGAACACGAATACGGTCTATACGAACACGAATGCTATTGATACGATTACGAATGAAGTGATAAATGCGAATTCTACGATTTTGAATGCCCCTGTCAGAACAACACCAGCGATAATGATGCCAAAGCTTCCCAAACTTCAATTGCCAAAATTCAGTGGAAAGATCACAGAATGGAACGCCTTTTGGGACTTATACAATGCTACGATTCACAGCAACGAGAGTATGTCTAAGGTAAACAAATTCAATTATCTATTCTCATTGCTTGAGGGTAGTGCAGCACGTTCGATAAGGGACTTACCTTAACATCCGCAAATTATGACGCAGCAATTGCGATTCTGCAAGATAGATTTGGTCGAACCCAACAGGTCATTGCCGCACATATGGATCAAATCCTACAAATATCTGCATGTTCTGAAAATCGTACTGGGCAATTGAGATATGTTTTCGATCAAATAAGTGTTCAAGTGTGAGGACTTGATTCGCTTGGGGTATCTGCAAACCAGTACGGCAGTCTGCTCATACCAATTATTATGTCCAAACTACCGAGTGAAATAAGATTGCAGGTAGCACGAAAAGCTACTGGTGATGTTTGGCAAATTGAAGAGTTACTCAAAACCATAAAGTTTGAAGTTGAGGCACGTGAAATGAGCGAGTCATCGCGTTCAATTGAGAAACCCCAGAACAAAGATAAGCCCAACAAGCCATCGACAGCTGGAACATTTGTAGTGACGAAAAATGATAAAGACGGTGCCCATAGCTTCAAGGTTAAATGCGTATACTGTCAAGGATCACATTATTCGGCATCTTGTGAAGAGGTAAAGGAAGGAAGCCCGAGTTAAAATTCTAAGGGACTCCAACCGTTGCTTTATTTGTCTAAAAAGGGACACCAAGCAAACAAGTGTATAGTCACAAGAAAATGTCGACATTGTTCCGGAGGCATCACCAATCTATTTGCAGCTATCCTGCTACCAACAGTCAGGGTGTCCAAAATGAAAAGCAATTGATAACACCTATCCACAGAAGGTATCAGAAGGTGTAAACTCTCCAACCACAACAGCTGTCACACGAACTGTCAAGGGAAGTGTTCTTTGCAGACAGCCAGAGCTCTCGTATCAAACGGATCAAAATCGGTTCCAGCACGAATTCTCTTTGACACTGGAAGCCAAAGGTCTTACATTCGAAGGTCACTTCAAGGCCGGTTAAGGTTAAATTCAATTGGTAAGGAGACACTTCAATTAAATACCTTTGGCCAAAGCAAGAGTAAACGAGAAAGCTGCGAAGTGTTCAAGGTGAGCAAGGTCCGAATTAGCGCTTTGCAAATCGCAAATTGCGAAGTGATTTCGATTTTGGCGAAATATTGCGAAGCAAATTTCGTAAAATTGCGAAGCTCATTTCGCATTTCTTGTTATTTAATGTAAATTTGCTTACTGAAAGCACTCTTTTTATATTGCTGTGATGGATGTGTTTTTATTATGCTTTGCGACCACTCCCTAAGTTTTAAAATACGTCAAAAGAAATATCAAATGATCAACTTTCTTGCACTATTTGCATAATTTCAAAGCGTTGCTATTACATCATGCCTCAGGAATGTGACTAACAGGAATTTATCCTAAAATAGTCGCAATTTTTTAAAAAACGTCGCTATCAATTGTAATATGAAACGTAACATTTTCAATATTATCTGAAAACGCGAAGTGACAAAGTCACAAACTAATACACACTGCATACGTTAACGATGGCGAAGCAAAGACTGTAGAAAATTTGGAGCGAGATTTAAACGTTAAATTGATCAAAAGTCTTAGTACAGATAAGAAAAAAGTAGAAGCGTTAAAATGTTCTGTCTGTGTGGAATTCTCCTCAACAATTTTTTCAATAGCTGGTTTTTCGCAAGCATGGATAGATGGGACAACATCTGTCAAATTAGATAGCTTGAAAAAACATGTCCAAGGTAAAGCACATCAACATGCAAAACGTCTTTTTGATCAGAAGTCCTTGGGCGAAACTTTTGGCGCACAAGTTGTTGAACGATCTCCAATTGGAAGAGGTTTGATGAAAATGGCAGAGATTGACATTAAAGTAACGATTACTCGTTTCAACACTGCCTACTATTTAGACACTTTAGAAAGATCCTATAGCGATAGTGAGGGCATCATTACGTTAAACGAAATGAACGGAATGATTCGCAGTTCCAAATTCCGAAACGAGCGTGCTATGGCAAACATCACTGATTCAATTGATGACAAACTCAAGCAGAAGCTGATGTCTGAATTGAAGAAAACACGCTATTTTTCTTTGTTGACCGACGGCAGCACTGACAAAGGCGTTTCTGAACAGGAAGTTTTGTATCTCCTTTTTATAAGCAGTGAAGGTAAATGCAATACACCGAACTGAATTATTTCGATTCTTGTCTTTAGATGCGTTATTTCTATTTTTTCAATGGACAGGTATCCCTCAAATAAGGTTTTTAGCAATTGAATCACCTACATCAACAAGTGCAGATGGCCTTAAGAAGATGATACAGGATTGCTTTTCCCGGTTTCACATGAACAATTTCCCAAGACAACTGGCAGCGCTAAACGTGGATGGAGCTTCGGTAAATTTGGGTAGCATAAACGGACTTGCAGCCAAACTTCGCAAAGACTCACCATGGCTGCTTACTATTCATTGCTTCAACCATCGCCTTGAACTGGCTGTTAAAGACGCATTTAAAGGAACAGGTATGGTGTCACAACAGTTAGACACTTCTTTTAAGATGTTGAATTTCAGAATAATGTGTTCATAATATATGCATTACTCATTTAATCAGAATTTGACGAAGTGGATGAGCTCCTGACTAAATTGTATTACTTGTACCAAAAGTCGGCAAAGCGCTATCGCGAATTGAAGGGATTCAGCGAGATTTTCGAAAAGAGCATAGCAAAGCCAGCCAAAGCCTTTGGAACGAGATGGATCACCCACAAGTTGAAAGCCATGGAGACCTTTGTTGCCAATTATGGCGCATACATGCTACACATTGAGTCATTGTCCCAAACAGATTCGGTGCCAGCAAAAAGAGAAGAATTGAAGGGTTTTTTGTCAAAATGGACGTATGCAAAGTATCCTATGCTGATGACAGTATACATTGACATTTTGACGCCTTTGAAGGTAATTAGTATAACGCTTCAATGTTCAGATTTGCTGTCTCATCACAACATATATAATCTGGTGCAAAATTAAGAGTTGTGACTTCTATTTTTAGGTTCTTAGCCTGGGATTCCAAAAGGAAGTTCACGACCCTGTTAAAGCGGTGAAGCGCATTAATGAATTTGAGTGGACTATGGTCAAACTAAAAGAATTGATCAATAAATGCGTTCAGGACGACTCCGAAAAACTTTTCCACGGTTTTTGAAGGAGTGCGAAGCCACAACGTCCGACGACGGTAAGTAATTGATGAATGAGTCCCTGACTTTACGTACGCTTGAAATGTTTTTTTACACAGTAGAACCTCACCAACTTTTGACAAAACGTCAAAAATTTAACAGGATTCAAGTGGAAGAACTTGAAGACGATGAAGATGAAGCAGGTACTTTTAAATGTTATAATTAGTGTTTCGTAAATGTAATACTTTATGTCGTAACATTGCCTTTTCTGTTTCTGAAGATGTTTCTTACCAAAAAATAAAGCTAAAAGGGTTTAATGCGTCCCGGAGGAAAGTAACGAAAACTTATGAAAAATGATTAATGCAGTGTCTAGGAGTGTGCAAGGAAGATTTGAAGAGTTCCAAGAAAGTGTGGTGTTTAAAAATCTGCCAGTCATATTGGACTTTGCAATGTGGCCCAAGGACGACGAAGCACTTAAGCGGTATGGCGACAAGGCAATTTTAGAACTGAAAGAGTTTTATCAGGCTTTACTTGTTCAGAATGGATGCAAAATTGACAAAGTCGTCTCAGAATGGAATCGTTTGAAGGTTTGAATAGTAAATGCATAGTTTTCCTTTCGTATTATACAGTTGGATAACTGAATATTTCTTCTGCTAGGCCACGTCAAAAGCTACATAGTTGGAGCAGAAAAAAGGAAAAATATGTAAATGTATGGCAAAGCATCTGGGAAAATGTTATATTGCAAAAGAGTGCAAAATGTACTGCATATAATTGAATTGTTGCTCATAACACCATTCACGAATGCCAAGGTGGAGCGTTTATTTAGCCGAATGAACAGAATTAAGATAACTCTGCGAAATCGTTTGAGTACACAACGACTCGACGCTCAGCTAAGAATTGGTAAGAAGGATGCCCGCTAGCTCAATTCAATGCGGAGGAAGCTCTCAATATTGGCTAGAGCAAAAGAGACGCCCAAATGGTGCAAAACCACAAAAGTATCCAGCAGAAAGGCAATCAAAGTCAGCGTCATCTACAAACGCTGTTGATATTGCAGCAGCTACGCTTTCCGATTTGGAAGAGAACGAATGCGAGGATTTTAGTTTATAGTTTTTAAAATTAATAAAAAATATTGACGTAATCATGTGCATTGTAAAAATTGCGAGAGGAAAGTAAATCGGGGGGGGGGTCGATCGGAACCGGGGGGGTCAGTAGGAACTTCTTCGAAGAAAGTTGCGAAGCAATTTTTTTGCGATAATTCGGACCTTGGTGAGCATTGCAAACAAGAGTGGAGGTGAGGTAGTAGAGATTAAAGCAATCGCATTTCCAACAATATGTGCACCACTTCCTACAAGGATAAATATAGACGATTATCCACATCTCCATGGTTTAGAACTTGCAGACTTTGATTCTTCCGATAACAATGGTAGCTGTGATTCAATCGACATCTTGATAGGAGCTGATCATTATTGGGACGTAGTCACAGGTGATGTCGTACGAGGAGAAAATGGTCCAACAGCGATGAGCAGCAAATTGGGATGGCTTTTGTCTGGATGGTCATCACAAAAATCAGACGAACATACTCTGAACAGCCTCATTTTAGCAGCCGACTGCCTTGATAATTCTACTGTCGTAACCGATAGGGATGAGCTAACAATATCATTGAAGCGTTTTGGGGAAACTGAGAACGTTGGCATTGACTCCTTTGACTCAGAGAACTCAACCGAGGAACAAGATTTTGTGCGAAATATTCAATTCACTGGAACACGCTACGAAGTTGGTCTGCCGTGGAAAAATGATCATGTGCAAATTGATGACGATTACGAACTCTGTCATAATAGATTGAGATCATTGCATCGAAAACTGCTAAAGGATCCACAAAATCTTGAAGAATACAATAATGGTATTACTGAACAATTGGCAGCAGGAATAGTCGAAAGGGTTCCGGCATCTGATAAGGATTGTGGTAAAATTCACTATCTTCCCCATCATTGTGTCATACGAAAGGATAAGGTTACTACGAAGCTACGCGTTGTATATGATGGATCTGCTACGACGAACTTGCGCAAATTTTCACTAAACGATTGCTTACTGACCGGGCCGAACCTCATTCCACAAATCTTTGATTTGCTCGTCAAATTTCGACAAAACAAGATTGGGCTAGTTGCTGACATTGAGAAGGCATTCTTAATGATTGGAATTGACAAGGAAGATAGAGACATGCTTCGTTTTTTGTGGCTAAGGGATGCTAGGGATCCTCATTCAGAAGTATTAAAGCTAAGGTTTTGTCGATTGGTTTTTGGTCTACGACCTTCGCCAGCAATTCTAGGAGCTACTATCAACCATCATTTGAAGACACACGAGAAGCAGGAGCCAGAAACTGTTGAACACTTGAAAAATTCTCTGTATGTCGATGATTTTGTGTCCGGTGCTGAAACCGATGAAACCGCTTTGCAAATATACAAAGGAACAAAGCAGTTGATGGCCAAGGGTGGATTCAACTTGCGAAAATGGAACTCGAATTCCAGTAACGTAGTGAAGTCTATCGAAGCGTTAGAAGGTAAAAAGAATTTGAGCTTGATTAGTGACAAATCAAGCGTTACTCAAGATGATCAGTCCTTTACAAAGTCGACAATTGCAAAGAGTCACTGCTCACGGAACCCACTCAAGTCAAAGTACTAGGAATGGTGTGGGATACGGTGGAGGACACATTTCTATTCAATTTGACTGAAATAATCGAGTACGCCAATTCTTTACCTGTCACAAAGCGATCGTTGTTGAAATGGTCATCTAAAATCTTCGATCCCCTTGGATTCTTGTCTCCTTTACGATAAGGCTCAAGATTCTGTTTCAAATCATGTGCTTGGATAGATTGGGATGGGACTGTGAACTGCATGGCAATCTACGTGAACAGTGGAACGTTTTATTGTCAGAGTTAAAGTTTCTAAATGATGTTCGTGTACCGAGGTGCTATTATCTACTCCAACCGAAATACCTTACTACACAAGTTCATGGATTCAGTGATGCATCTGAAAGTGCAATTGGTGCTGTTGTCTATGTAAGAACAGTCTATGAGAATGGTACCATCGACGTGAAATTAATCGCTTCAAAGACAAAGGTCGCACCAGTGAAAAAGCAAACGATTCCCCGTTTAGAGCTGGTGGCAGCGACTGTACTAGCGAAGTTAGTAGAGTCTTTGTTAAAGGCACTCAAGTGGAGTCTGGAAGTTTTTTATTGGGTTGATTCGATGACAGCACTCCACTGGATACGAAACGATCGAGCATGGAAACCATTCGTGCAGCATCGAGTGAACAAGATTCGAAGTATTTCGTTGACGGAATCTTGGAACTTTGTCCTGGATCACTTAATCCTGCAGATTTACCCTCACGAGGTATTTCTGGGCAACTACTTTCGAATTCTTCCTTATGGTTCAATGGACCCAAATTCTTGGCAAGGGCGAAGAAGAGTGGCCAAAACGTCCAGTTGGCAACCTCTCACAAAGTGACGAAGTTCTGAGGGAAATTGTGAAAGAGCATCCGAATGTCGTAAGATCACTAGTTTCGAATGAAATCGAACAACGAGCCATGCCAGATCTTAACAAAGCAATCGACATTACTCGTTATAGCTCCATGAAGAAACTTCTTCGAACAACTGCTTATGTAATGAGATTCATCAACATATTAAAGAAGATGCCACGGTGCGAGCGAACAACAAACAAACTCACAACCTCAGAAGAACTAAGCTCAGACGAAATAAGGAAGCGCAGCTGCTGTGGATAAGGTCTATTCAACAACTATCCTTTGAAAAGGAAATACTATTCCTTTGTCAAAGAATATGAATTCTTCAATACCCATTTACGTTAAACAATTTGGGCTATTTCTCGACGGTGATCACGTGCTGCGGTGCCGTGGGAGACTGAAGAATTCATTGCTGAATCTGGAGAGCAAAAATCCTGTATTGCTTCCAAAGGAATCAAGATTTGTGGAGTTATTAATATGCGAGGTTCACCACAATGTGAAGCACAGCGGGATTCGTGATACACTAACAACCATTAGAGAGCATTTTTGGATAATCCGTGGTCGAGAAGCAGTAAAGAAAATAGTCAGGAAATGTGTCGTTTGTCGTAAAGCCGAAGGTCTTCCTTATGGGGGAACGCCTCCTCCAGATCTTCCTGTTAGCAGAGTGTCGGATGATCCCCCTTTCACAAACGTAGGTTTGGACTTTGCCGGACCTTTGTTCGTACGAGAGTTGTGAAAGGAATAATTTGTCGGATAATCCAACAAAGGTGTATATTCTATTGTTTACGTGTGCGTCTACTAGAGCCATTCATCTGGAGCTCACTCCTTCCTTAAGCGTTCCAGCCTTTCTCCGCGCGTTCCGCAGATACGCTAGTCGACGAGCACTGCCAGCTCTTCTTATATCCGATAATGCTAAGACTTTCCGAGCTGCATGCTTAGAAATTCGCAAGTTATGTCGTTCTGAGGAAGTGTTACGCTATCTTGCAAACCATCAGATTACATGGCAATTTATCGTCGAAAAGGCCCCTTGGTGGGGAGGCTTCTGGGAACGTTTGATTCGAAGCGTGAAACGTCCGTTGCGAAAGGTAGTTGGTAGAACCAATCTAACCTACGACGAGTTGCATACTATTGTGGTTGAAATCGAGGGCGTAATAAATGCACGACCCCTAACCTACGTGTACGACGATGAAGAAGCTGTATCTCTTCCGCTAAGCCCGTCGCACTTGGTGTATGGAAGACGAATAACGACCATGCCAAACAGTGAGCACTTTGAAATTCAGAGCACTTATCAATCTTTGACGAGAAAGGCGAAACATCACAAAAATTTACTGCAACGTTTTACTCTTCAATGGAGAAACGAGTATCTTTTAGCCTTACGAGAGCAATACACTTCAAAATCAAGAGGTAATCAAAATCCCGAAATAGCAGTTGGAGATATCGTCATTATTCGCAACGATCAAACAAAACGTATCTTTGGAAGGTGGCGAAGGTTGAACAATTGTTACAAGGTGGCGATGGAATTACACGAGCTGCACAAGTCAGAGTCCTTCGTGGAGACTCTAGTCATTCACACTTGTTGCGGCGTTCTATCAGGCAACTTATTCCAATTGAGGTTCATCAGGAAGAAGACATTAACGAAAGAGTAGAAAACGATAAGAAAGGCGAAAAGGAACAAGTCCTTCGTCCAACTGATCGACCACAACGCAGCGCGGGAATAACAGGACAATTGCGAAGATTGCAGAATACAAACAAGTTCTAAATAACTGTACATTCTTAGCAAAAATAGTTTTGTTTTTTGTTTTGTTTGTTGACAACATTTTATTATGTCAACCCTGGGAGTGTAAGAAAGATCAGAGTAGTAATTATAAATGCATAATAGAAGAAAACATGTCAATCAAAATGTCAGTAAAATATACATATCGATGGCGAACAATCTTGTTTCTATTTCGTACAAAGATTTATATTCCGAATGATCATTAAAGACACTATCACACAAGTGACGAAGAGACGTAATATCTCTCGGATCTTTCACTCTATCTAAGTTCAAAAGTTTTGCATGTGCGCTCGTTGGACCGATTCTGGCTTCCCATAGCGTTCCTTCAACGCGTCTATTGCAGCGTTGTAGTTCGCCGAAGTCAAAGAATATCCCGCGATACATGACTTCGCTGGTTCGCCTAAGAGTCCCCGAAGATAATTGAATTTGTCAACGTCGGACAAACTTCCATTTCCGTGAATGGCGCTTTCGAAGGAATCCCAAAACTCCTGCCATTCGCAAACATTTCCATTGAACCGTTTAACGTGCAGCTTTGGCAATTTTGCGCAAACTGTTCTATTGGTCACCGACGCTCCTCCGTCAGACCTTAACGAACTGTTCATTCTATTTTCCGAAGCGCAATTGCCGTCAATCTTTTGGCGAAGCTTCCTCGCCATCGACTTTGCTTCAGAACTTATTCTTCCAGCTTCCTCGACTTCGCTGACAATGTCAAGTTCTGACGCTTCTTCGTCCCCAGCAATCGTTAAGGATGTCTTCATCCAGTTTTGAAGCATAGCGACTGTCTCCAAGATTTTGTCGCGTTGCTGTTCCGCGTCATTCTTTCGTTCATCGAATGCGTCGACTAAGCTTCTGCTGCCGACGCCACAACTTTCGTCAGGTAACCACGATGACCTGCTCGTACTTTTCTTTCTGCTAACTCCTCCATACTATCCGGCTCGAAGGACCACTTGTCGCAGAATTCACTGAGTTCGTCCAGAAAATTGATCTGCACTCTGATTCGGTTTGTTTTATGGAGTTTATTAGCAATGAACAATCTACACAATCTCTCCGACTATTACAAATTTGAGTCTATTTATATGTCTACATTTCGTGACTTACGTGCACTATTACAACATGAATTAATTAAGAGAGAAAATACTTAGGAAGTGTTAAGTATACACCCTAATTTTTAATTATAATTTTGCACACATAAAACTCTGCATGGGAACTTATAAAATCTGGCATGCAATAAAAAATATAAATGAAATATCCTAAATTATACAACAACTTCTTTGTACACAGTCCTGAACGTCTTTTCACAACTCTGTGTCCAAGTTTAATCTGTCTGGGTTGCTACAAAAAATAATGATTATATAACAAGCACTAAAGAGCAGCTGGCTCAAATATGTTAAAAATCTCAAAAAACTTTATCCAAAAACTCAAAAAGTCAAAAACATAGAAATAAACTTACAACTAAGCCAAAATGCCCTCAAAATAAGCATTCTGTTTATACTTTGTGGAAATATGTTTGAATGGATTTGAGATACATGACCTTTATCAAATAATTCATCAAGACCTGGCACATCATTATAGTTTAATCCAGCTTTCTCTAAGCAATTTTGCAAACCGTGTTTAATTGTTTGACTGTTCCTCGACAAGTTCAGTGGAATCTTCTACACACATTTTGTGTGAGCAGATTGATTTCTTTTGTTTTCAGAAGAAATTGAGCATTTTTGTTCCATTGCTTGAACAGAGTTATCATGTTTATTTTCCTGTTAAATTCATCAATTAAGAGTTCAAGGCCATCCTCATCAGGACAAAATTGTTGAGTGCTACTGCTGATTCAACGCAACATAGATCACGTGAGTTTAAGTCAACATTGGCGTGCTTTCTTCTAAGATGACTTTTGTAAGAGTTAACCTAAACAACAATCCGTGAGCGCACTGAATAAGTAAATATTTTTAACAAATAACAAACAAATCAGTGTCGTATCAAGAATCAAAAGTTTACCTTAGGGAAGGTTGAATTACATCCGGCACTTCGCAGAAATATGCAATCTGGCATCGTGTTCATGAACAGCGACCAAATGATGCAACATTCCAGCGACAGACGTTGAAAAACGTTGCACATACCTGACAACACAATCGTGGCATAATTAATTGAATTTTACGAATATTCTTGCGTCACTAGTCAAGTGACAACTCCGTTATCGTTTGTTAGAGCAATGAATGAGTAAAATCAGATCAATATTAAGTGTCATTAAGTGCATTTCTTGTCCAATTAGATGCGAACTTGCGGCGATTGGTCGATTTGGCCACTTGACATCCCATTACGCAAAGCGGCACGTGTCTGACTGCCTGTTGCCGATGTATGTAGTCGCGTGGCGTGTTTCTAAACTTCTTGTGCTTTGTTGAAGTGCATTTTAAGCGTTTAAACTCTTCTATTGTGGGCAAAATGGAAATCAACAAACAATCATCTGTCGCTGACATTATTCTTTTTTTGTAAAAGAACAAATTGGATGAAATTGTCGAAGATTTTGAAGGTATTGTCTCATCCTGAAATGTCTTGTGCATAAATCTAGTGTAGAAAATAATTCAAAATTACATTTATAGATGACTTGCCTTGTTTACGTTTTACTAGCAGGCAGATTTGGTCGAGCGCTTTTAGAGAATACCAACAGCAATAACGTAATTTCATTGACGTTTTTCTTCTCATATTTTTAAAGCTAATCAAGTCGGCGACGAGGATTTTTTCAATTTAGAACCACATGATATTTATCAGATGATTCCTCGAATACTACTTCGCAAGAAATTTACGTGTATTTGGAATGACGTTACTCAAAAGGTAAATTGAAGCCTTACAGGTTTTCTACATAAAATGGTTCAAAATACTTGGTTTGTTATTGGTTTGTTGATTATATTTTTTACTTCCATGTGCTTTGATTGTGTCGTTATAAAATCACCAGAAGTAAAATTTCAGGCTTCATCTATTAACAGGGGGTCATCAGCTTCAACAACACACTCTTGTGTCACTTCGAACAACATCAGAACCATCAACAAGGATGTGAATCCAGACATTCCGAGTAATTCAGCTGATCATCAAGAAAATCATGATGAGGTATCAAGCAACCCAGCTTGACTTGTTTGTGTTGTAATTGTGTGGATCCAGATGAACCATTGCTCCTATTTTGCCTGAATCCTCTATTAACAGGGCTTGTCAGAATCAGCTTCAACAGTGCACTCGTACATCTATTCAAGCCACATAAGAACCATCAACTTGGATGTAAATGAAGACATTGTTCTTAGTACTTCAGCTGATCATCAAAATGATGAGATATGAAGGCTGAAGCCATTATTTGTATACAATATTTGTTCTAATGCTAGTTCATAAATATACAATGTTTCATGTTTGGCTCAGTTACATAGGAAATTTTCCTGAACTCAATCATTTTGTTATATAAAATCTTTTGTTATATAAAGAAATTAACATTCTCTTTCCATGAATGGATGTAATTCCACTTTTCATTTTTGTTTCTCATTGTGGAATTACATAAATTCCACAGTAAATACAGTGTTGGAGTTTTGAAAATTTTGTTGCGTTATTTCTTTACTTCTTTATGTTGTATGTTAAGGTTGAATTTTACTATTTTTTAAGAACATTGGACCAGAGAGACATCTCAAGGACCAGCCTAGTTCCAAGGAGTCCCTTGACAGCTAATGTGAACAATTCCAATTGGTTGTCCAAGTTTTGTTTGCCAACAAGAGTAAGTAGCATTAAAACTTAGTTTTTTACACACTACAAGTTTAAAATATGTTAATAAAGATTGCCATATCATATTAAACCATGCTGTTTGAGTGTAGTGGGAACCAGCAGTGGAGGAGGCATTAAAAAGGCAGGAACTAAATCCAAATGAAAAAAATGCATTAAACAGGCAATTAACTTCTTCAATTTTGGCACATACTGAATCGCCAACTGTTCATGAAAGAAAACACATTGCTCTTATGTTAATTCAAAAGTATCCATTCTTAAAGGGATCATTTGGTTCTGGTCATGTAGGTTAAAAAAATCAATTATATTGCTGCATAATTCAGTTTCATAAAGTACTGTCATTGTTTTGTTTTTCCAGCAACTATGGGCAAACAAAATAGCAGACCGAGTCCTTAATCTGCGAAGAAGAGCATCCCAAGCTCAAAAGCGAAAGCGGCTTGAAGAAGGGGTCCTAATTCCAAAGGGAAAACCTGGTAGGAAAAGTAAGAAATCAGCTTGCAATTCTCTCCCATCTCTTCCAGAAGGTGAAACAGAAGCAGCTATTGTAATTCAACAAAAGCAGTTGGTTGAAATGTTTAATATTGGCTCGCAAGACTTGAGCAAGATCAATGTGTTGATGAACAATACCTTTGCTCATCGGCGTAGAGACATTTTGGTGAACAATACAAAGGTTTGGAAGCTTCTGCATGACTACCCTTTTTTCAAACACACCAAGGGAGTTGAAGTAAGGTTTCATTTCTTTTTCTGATTTTTTGAGTTTGTTTGAAGTATCAGGCATGTTAGCCTGATGAGAGGGTAATATTCATATGTGCATGGTATACTTTACTAGATTCTAGTACTACAAACAATTTTAATTCAACAGATTATATGTAGCATATGAATTTATGAATATGAGTTTTTTGCCAATTATTAATCTGCCGCTGTCCATTAGTATGTATGCTGTAGCAAAACTGTCAGTTGTATCACAATTACTTAGAGAAAGATAATTAGTTTTTTGGTTTAATTTTTTCCAGCTGAAAGCAGAGTTAGGACATATTTTGGAGAAGAGTGATGTTGTGCAAGACATGAAGGAACAATGGAATTTACACAAATATAAAATGCTGTCTGCTATTAAAAATACAAAGCAAAAGAATGAGCTGGAGGATTGTCCAGTTGAAGATGAGGAAGGTTGGTGTAAAAATCAATAAGTTAAAATCCCTATTTATACTGAAGTGTTAATGCTTTAGAGAGTGATAATGGTAATATATTCATTCTATACTATGTTGATTATTTTAGAGGTCAAGAACCGGTGTATAATGGCATGTTTGCCTTTTGTGCTAGATGACCAACGCACCCATCGAGATATGAACAAAAAGCTATTTTGGGACATTGTTGATGTAAGAGTTGGTATTGTCACAAATAATATTTTCTGCATAAATGTGTGAAAAAATTGATGAATAATTTTATCTCTGTTGAAGGGTTAAAGATTGCGGGAAGTTCAAGAGATCATTAACAAAAGCTCGTCTCCTAGACTCCTATCAACAGGAACATTAAGAAACATTCATTCAATAATGTTGGTGGCTGAGGGGATGATTGTGGCAAAGTTGAAAACAGAAAATATTGTCAACGCATTTATTATTTTACTTAGTTCTTTTTATACTTTTAATGCTGAGTATCCTAAAGGTGTTAATGGACATGGCAAAAATGTATTTATTCTTTTAGAACATTTGTGACTATCAAATGTTCTATTTGTGATTATCAAATGTTCTATTTGTGATAATCACATGGTTGTGATTATCACAAACCAAAATATTGCCTTCGTCGTCCACAGCAACACCTTCTGGGCCGTCAAACTGAGAATCCCTGGTACCTGAACATTTTTGCTATTAGTAAATTTTACAAGCGTGTAAAGCGTGAATAGTACAATAATTTTCGTAGAATATTGCAAGAAGCTTAAAAATTTACTAGTTCAAAATTCAAAATCAGACTGGCTATTAGGCTTAAACAAAACAAACGCAAAGGAGTGTGTTATTTGCCAGTTTTCATTATTCAGAATCACCTACAATATTTTGTATCTCCGTACCTTCCTCGCCAAAGGACGTCTGAAACTCAAAGTCCTTGTTAAAAACTTGAATTCTATCGTTGACACAATCCGACACAAAACAAACACCTTTGTTATTAAAAACTAGGTGATGCGGATAAAGGAATTCTCCTTTTCCACTGCCTTGAGCTCCGAAGATGTGCAGTAACTGGCCATGAAGCGAAAAAAATTGAATGCGATGATCATTCTGCTCCGTAACGCCTATCATTTCTATCGCATTTGAATATGCTACCCGCATGGACAGGATAGTTGTCCTAAATATACCAGTAAATACTTTGTTAAAATACGCAAAAATATAAAATTATTTCACAAATGATTTTGCAACAAACTTTGACTTATAACACCTTTATCACTTCCATCAACTTATGAATAACTTATTACTAACAATTACAACTAATAATATTACAATTACAACTAATAATAAGTTACAAGTTAATAATCTTATAAGTTAATAATCTTACATCAGCTTGAGAATATCACGGCGACTTTTCTCAAAAGAAGCTGTTACAACATGAATATCTCGCAAGTTGGTCTGAAAACAAATTTTCTTATCCACAGTTGTTAAAGTGACATCCAAATTGTTCTAGTCAACAAAATTACAAAATTTAACGTTATATGATGGAAAAAATTGATACGAAGTAAAATAAACGAAATATTTTTGTGCACCTTCACAATAAGAGTGTTGGTATTAGCCAATTTCGCATCAGCCAAGAAATAGATCTCTGGTTTTTTAACATGTAACTTTACTTCAAGCGATGAGCTATTATTAACGACATTTGGTGTCCCTGTTGACGGGATAGCAAGCTCTGTCGATAGGATTTTTGCCTCGGCAATAGCTTTACTCTCTACGTCTTTATGAGCATTTTCATCAAACGAGTCAGTAAACACACGTGAAAGAAGCAATAAAAATTCGACGTTCACAATAAGCGAAATGCTGTTCACAAGAATGTTGACTAGAAAAAAAAATCCTAATCAATATTGCACAGCATAATGATTTGAAAAATTCAAAGCCGTACCTTCCTTTTCTAATTCTTTCGTCTGTGTAAACTTTACATCGATCATATTTAATTCATTAGACTGCTCGTCCTTTTCATCATATCGTTTTTCTATCATCCTACGTACGTACAAAGAAAGAAATAGAAATATAAAATCAAGTATGAATCGTACATACACTACGAATCTTTTGTAATCTAACGTTGTGACTCCTTTCTCATGAGTGGGTCTTTTATCCTTCAATGTTATCATCCTTATAACAACTGACGTTTCCATTGCTCCATTAGCAAGCAACGAGCCAATCGCATTCAGATAATCTAATGACGAAGAACCAATAATATCGCTCTTTGCATGATCCAATGTTGAAACGTTGCCTAAGACCTAATAAAAGAAAGAAATAATATGTAATAACTTAGAGGGAATTTCTATAGAGTTGCAGTTGAACAGTTACGATTGGTACGATAGTAAAACTATATTCCAGAGTTTATATAACAAACCAGAGGCTGAATATTTTGATAATATCTTGTTGTAATTTTTTCAATGTTGAACTGAAATTTCACAGAAACCCATGTTTTGTAATCTTCATTCAAAACTGCAACTACATCTATATGTATACAAAAAAATACACAACGACTGATATGAAAAATAAATTACGAAAATTTTCTAATGTTGATGACGTCACCTGAATCATTAAAAACTGACAAAGATGATACGAAACTTGAATCCGTGTCGTCTACAAAATCTAAAATGACAAATAAAATTTTTAAAAGTTTCGAAAGATTGTAACCACGTATCTACAATAATCCTAAAGTTATCCCAAACCACAACTATCCCAAGCTATACTTAGTTGTACTTATGTAACCCTTTTCTCGCTCCTCAACATACCAATCAGATCAGATCCTTCCGTCAAGTTTTGTGATGTAATATCCAGTACAGTCTTTACATCATCTGTTCCGATATCAATCTAAAATCATTTTGAAACTGCCAAAATCCAATAAACCCAAACACTTATTCAAACATTTAAAATCAACTTACTTTAAAAGCATGAAGTTTGGCTGTGACGTCAATATCCGGGATATCGTTACACCATGGAGAAAGACTACGGAGAAGTATCACAACCATAGATATAGGTTGAACGATTGTTCTTTGAGCGGATACTGTTCCATTTTCAGATATAATGGCACTACAAAACAACATAAACTAACTTAAACAACTTACAAGCGCTGTACGGCTTGTAAATAATTTAGAACATACACAGAGAGTTGAAGAGAAGTAAATGAAACATTCATTTTATCAACGACAACGATGTCCTTATTCATATCTCCTTTAACGATCTCGAAATTATTATGTACTTCCAGATTACCAAAATTAACAACGAGTGCGCGATCTGAACAACTGCTTACTGGGATGATTACAAATGGAGCTTGGATAGAGATGTCCAGTTTAATTCGTGGAGAATTCTTGTTATATTCTTGTGACTAAATTTATACAAATAAAACAAGACTAAATGACAATACAATTTTAGAGTACTATCCGAATGTTTTTCAAGCATATTTTTGCCGATTGTGTTGCAGTTTGAGCTGCAGCACTGCCAGCATTTTGAATTGCTTCCTGTGCTTGATTGAAGTTACTTAATTAAGAAATTCTGGAAAACGATTTATCAAAGAATTATGCACAAGAAGATGACACTAAAAGAGTGATAGATTTCTACAATTAGACAGCAAAATGTAAAGCTTCATATGTGAAATGACAGGAGACAAAATAAAGTGAAAATTTTCTTATTTGAAGGGTGCAGTATACACAGACAGTTTTAAAACAGTCAGAATGCATCAAATGACTAAGTACTAGTAAAAATGGGACAATCAATTACAAGAAAATTTAGAGAAAACCTGTTGCCATGGACTACGCAACGCAACAACTGCAGAATGAGAACGACAATACTCTACATTTTTAACAACAAACCTCCCATCAGTATTTCAAATGCTTTCCAAAATGTCAAAACCGGATCACCTCCGTGCTTCTGCAAACCTTGCAAACACACGTTTTGTAGGTGCCTGTAAAATCTTGCTCGACAATAATAGTTGATACCGCCCTGTTGCCAAGTAAAATATTGCACTTGCTTGAGTCAAAATATAATTTATATTTCTGCAACTCGTGTTAGAATTATCTATAAGATGAAACATACCAGTATTAGAGTATCTGTAGATGCCATAGTTATTCGTACGAATTAATAGTACAAGCTAGATTTTTGTGTTATCGTTTTCTGCCATTTGCTGACATCTCTTTATCACTCTGAATTGTTGACTCTCGGCCCAGGCTACTTCTATGTGCGCGTGGTCAAAGAAACTTCATTAGAGCAAGAAGCATTGAAACGGCGAGAAAAGTTAAAAGCATCGAGGGAGAAGAGTGCTGCTGCTGCTGAGGTATACTATTGTCTTAATTGTTTATTTCAACCGTCAGGTTCATCGTATCATTTGTTTGTCAAAGCCAGTTACTGCACTCTCAAAATGAAAATCATCAATGTATCTACTCAGCCTATATTCTCAGTATTCTGAAAAGTATGCCTTTTTTTGACGAGATCTTCAGTTTTGTATAATGGCATTATAGTAAACTGCTTTATACTGCGCGGATACACACAATGCAATCAATAGTACTGATCCATCAGTAATCATGAAATTCAATATAAAATTATAAATGTTGGTTTGGTTACACAATAAAAACAAAACATGTGTTTCTTGCGTGTAATGGTGTTTTGTTTTAAAATCTCCATTCTATTTTGTGCACAGCAATTAAGAATGCTTTGCACATTGTTCCATTATCAGTCAAAATTTTGCATGACTTGTATTTTCCATACAAACACTAGAAACAGAATGTGTTTGATCTTTAGGAAGGTCGGGTTTAAAAGAGAGGAGTCAGTGACAGTTCAACAGAAAGCGAGTAATGCATTCATTGTGTTTGTATGTTTTGATTGTCAATCTAGGCATGATATTGAAAGAAAAGTAATGCCTGACATTTAAATTTTTTGGCTAGCCAACTAGAATTTGCCTTAATTTGGCGACAAATTAAGTAAGAGGCATCTCTATGAAGCTTGTACTTCTGACCTGAGAATGAAAAAAATGTGCATTTACGTAATGAACATGACAAGTTCATTAAATGGGCATAATCAGTTGTGCCTCTACGCAGTTTTGGAAAAAACATAATTTGATTTTCTTTCATTTCGTTTCAAATAATATTTTCCTTTACATTTTCATATTCTATACAATTTTAATTTTTTTCATTACGAAGGTTAATGCTGTACAACTTATGTACGAGTTCCAGCTCCAGTTTCGCTTAAAACAAAGTTTTAGCTCAGATAAAAAGTCACAATCTCCGAAAATTTATGAAATTTCTTAGTAACAATAATGTTCTTTTTCAGAAAAAATAAATCGCTCAGAAAAACACAAAAAAACACAATGTTATGTAACTGTGCAAGTTTTAACTTTTTTGTGGAACTTAACGCATTTCTTTTTTCGTGGACATTTATTTGATGAGGCATTTACTAAAACTGCTCACATAATCACTGCTGGATTTTCTGTCCAGACCTCAACAACTTAGATCTTAACTTCGGCTCTAAAGCTCAGACTCAAGTGAACAGCATATATGAAGGTTGAAGACAAACACAATAATAAAAATATTTTCTTGAGTGAAACTGCCTTGAAGCAGCTACTACATAATCGAATAGCTAGCTAACAACAAAACCTAAGTTGCTAACCTTTATAAGACTTAACTAACTCGGCAAGTGCACCAACACAGCATAGCATTAGGATGAATAAGAACAATGTAACTTTGAACATCCCTGCACTGGATGCCACGAGTAGAATAAACACACTCTAAACAGGGTATGCAAAGATTGTGATGATTTTTGTATATGATGATGTCCAAAAAAACACAACAATGATAGAATAACAAAGGACAACAGACCATACCTATAAAAATTTTAATATGAAATACCAGAATGAAATTGAATATAAGTAGACAAATACTTTAACAGGAACAATATGGTGTATGTACTAGTGCATGCTCAAGCAGAAAAAATGATCAACTATAATTTTAGCACAAGACAAAATGAAATATCCATTTTTCACTTTTTGATGAATTTTGTGTGGTTGCTTTTGCCTACGACTCGCTCTTCTTATTTTTTAAGATTGTTTTTACGATATTCACTTTATGCATGAATATATAAATTCAGATGAGCATGGAAAAAGTTTTTAAACTTTATTCAGTCACACAAAGAATTGGAAAATCAAAAATGTATATGAATAGCGTAATATAGCTTTACTTTTTCACCCGAATTTGCTTCATTTCCAAATTCAAAAAAAAACACACACACACAAGGCCAAACAATATGCTGGTACAATTTCAAAAGAAAATCCCATGGTTCTAATGTCAAAATTGACAAAATCATTTTATAGTTTTAGAATCTTTTCATCGAGAGCGCAATGTTATCTGTACTAAAACGCAACTTAAATTTAATAAGGGACCAGGCATAAACATTAAACATATAAGACACATCGTAAAATCTTCCATTTGTACACAGTAAAATCTTCCATTTGTATACAGTAAGCAACGTTATGCTTATAATCACGATAATCACAGCACTAAAACATATATATATCCACGTCCCCACTTTTGCTTTTCATTTGAGACTGAGTAATGATCTATCACAAATTAAATATAACTATAAGAATTCAAAAAATTTTATTGGTCGAGAGCTATGATCTATAAGAGGACATACGCAAGGAATTGACGTCAAAGAAATGACTTGTATTTAAATGACGAACGAACGGCGAAATTGCTGGAATATTTACCTGAATTTATCGTAGAATGGGCAAATGAAGACATTAAAAATACCGAGTTGAAGCAATCGACGTATTTGAGCAAAAAGAAAAGAAAAAACCTCGTTTGAAAACGATGATTTGTAAAACTGCTGAAAACTGTCGATAACAAAATCTTAACAAAATTGATTAGCCAATGTTTGTTCATCTGTTAGCTAATCGTATTTAATCACGTGACTAATCTACTTAATACCAGTCAATACCATTTCTTCAATCCTATTAGATCATGTACGCGTGATATTTGCAAACTCAAGACTTTTCATTTTTCCAAGTGTTGGGGAACAAAGAAAACAAATTTTTGGACAGCTTAATTTGGTAATTTTTTCGTTTTTATTAGATAAAACGGCGGCTCATGAACACTTTTTTAGTTCTGATTACAAATGACGTTATACCTGTGTATCTACTACTGTATTGACAACGGCTAATGTTATCCATTTGTTAATTTAAAACTTTTTTATTGTGCAAATTGGTAACGTTACAACACGATACCAAAGTCCTTTTAAGAACTAATAAGAGGTAAAATAACAGTTAAATATGTGGGAGCCTACAGAAGTTGTCTGAGCCTTTGCAGTATACTTGGATGTTCTAACTTCTTTTATGAGAAGAACTCTTGTAAACAAAAAGATAAGATTCGAAAGCATAAAATCCCACTTTCGGTCCATGCTTCCCGATACCCTCTTAAGCGTAAGGCACTAGAACACCGCATGTTAACGTTTTGGTAACCATTAATCAGTCAAAGATAATTTGCAGATCGATCTTAAATACATTTTAGAGGAAAAATTAAAACATTTTTATTAAATTTGTCTGTTTTGCATTATTGTTATTTTATAAAAGAAATAAAAGATTTTTTTCTCGGAGACATTTGTAAGAACTCTCGAGCAGTTGCAACCCTCAACCTTCGTTCAAGGGCTTGCACTGATCTGCTCTCGAGTTCTCTCTAAAATCGATTTGCATAAGCCTGTGCAAACACAGTAAACATCTTTTATTTACCACAGACTGGTATTCCAAAAAATTTAAATAAATATTATTTTTACCTATTTATATAGTCGTGTAATAAAGCGTTAAATTGTTAGGAAAAAATCGTGAGGGAGCAGTATTTTTAAGAACTGTGTTCCACAATACATTGATTATTTTCACCTAGGGGCAAGGACATTGCTGATTGCTCTCAAAATCTAGTAGTATGAGTAAGTTTAAAGCATGTATGATTTTAACACATGCTACTGTGGTTTAACACACCCTGAAATAAAAATATATTTCATTCTGTAAAAATTGAAAGATTGTAGAACGAAAAGTAATTATCATACGCATTGTTCTTATAATTTCGTAGAAAAATCTAGTTAACAGTAAGATATCGACGAAATTAACTTCACGGCCATTTCAGACTTTTCATTTTGATCCTTTGGTTACCAAGGTCTGTGAGGTTGTTTAGCTGAAATTAAAAAAATTTATTTTTGCCCAAAGTCGAGTAACTTTTTGTATATGCTGATGACAACCACATTTCTTCATTTTTTCGCTGTTATCCAGTCAGAAATTGAAACTTAACGCTTGTCTTGGTGCGTAAATTGATTACATACATGCATGGTATGTAACTATACTAACTGACGCGTAATACCGTCACTATTTGTTTGTTATCATGATATAATATAGTAAAATTCATCACTGTAAACTTCAGAACAATGTCGTCATTTATTTCCTTAAAAATCTATTGTTTTCACAGTAAGTAAACATCATGTGGCAATTAGGCGGCCAAATTTGCCAGATGGCTGCCCGGCTATGCCCCAGATAATATGACCTTTGACCTGAAACCCTTGACCAAAAAGACATACGTTTAATGACCTTTGACCTGTCAGTCCAGAGAGGTTTAGACATATACTTATTTATTATAAAAACGGCCTTTAATAGGCTCTTCTTTCAAAATCTCCTGTCCAAATTTCCCAGTTTCAATAGAAACATTCAATAGCTTACTTTAACTGTTTATACTTACCGAAATGAAACCCATGTCACAACAACTCCAGTAATTGCAAGAATAGCCAAAAAGCTGATGACTATTATTAAGATTGCTTTTTGTCCAAACTCTAAAATAATGTGTATAAAAATCACTCCATTAACAGTTTAGCACTTAACTTTCAGGTAAATGAGTCATTAAATCAATATCATAAAGTTAACTTAAGGCCTTCGACTTAAAATTTAATTCAGACAAATTTCATTGGATGTTCGGTTCATGACAGTTCGTCGATAGATCTTTTGACGGTTGTTTATTTCAAAAAAGGCAACCTCACAACTTCAACTGTCATTTTATCCTCGTTTTTGCAAACTAGCGGTTTGGATAAAATTACCATAAAAAGGACTATTAAAGCAGACATAATTTATTTTAATATAATATATCAACATATCATCGTTTAAGTGAACAGATGGATTAATTTGATTTGTTGTAACCATAACTTTAGAATGATTTCTATTTAGAGAAGGTATAGTCATCGAGATTTTGTTGTAACTGGAAGCTGGGAAACAGACAAAGAAAAGATGGACATAAATAGCAATCCTACTATACAATTAGAAAGCTAAAGGTACTGTGTAGAGATGGGGGGGTGGGTAAACAAATTCTTAAACATTTTCGATTAAACAGAGGATGTAGACGTACCTAGTGATGCATATTTCTTATTGAGATTCTTGATTTAATTATCGCTTGTTTTATGATTAAAGCAAGTATTCAGGAAATTATCTCAAGTTTTGTTAGTATTTTCTCACTCCTTACATAAGAAAGGACAATTAATAAATGCATACATAATTTTTCTCATAATATAATATACTAGCATACCATCGTTTAATTGAACAGTTCGTTGTATTGGAGCAACGACAGCAGTGGAAATTGTATTTATAGGTTTTGTTTTTTCCGTTGTGATGTTGATATAATCGAAATCTAGTATAAGAAAAAGTCATTTAAGAGAGGCTTATAAATGTGTGGCAAAGCCCATATACAACCCACACCCACTTCAATATTCCTCAGGGTGTGTTTTAAGTTGTCGCCCGAGGCCCCGCGTTTTGAAGGGCCCCGATATAGCGAAGTCCTTTTTTTCATTTCTACACCGCCTTATAATGTCGCTAAAGGAAGACAGACATCCCAGCACAAAAAATTACATTGTAATTATTACATTATATTTATTGTATTTAGTACATTATACACATTACGGGGAAAGGTTGAGTGCTTTCGTCAGGTGTTAAATTGGCGTTTTGTTTTCAATGCCTGGTGATCGAGGTGGCCTCAATATTTGGTTCGGAGGGACCCCATGCAAGTTTGATCCACCGCTGGCCCTCCTGTTATGAAAACTTAAAGCAACTACCGGGGGAGGATGGGTAAAAATCCATTTTCAAACAGACGTACATGTGACAAAGTATCCTCACCAAAAAATTGATTTAAAATTGCTTAAATTAAAATTTACTAGGAATGTTTCGATTCCTAATGTTTTGCAAGCATTTTCTCAGGGCCTAGTTGAATTTCGAAATAAAGAAAATGCGAAATTCTTTGTATTTCGCTGTTAACAAAATGTCCTACCTTTTGTAAATGAGGACAACGTTGGTGATGGTGACGATGCGCACCTGCTTTTAGAGGACGCTAAAATTCCATCAAGATATTGATGTTAGAAGTTAAATATACAATACAATAATTCACAACAAATACATAATTATTTTGTATCCATATGATAAACATAGTTACAACTGCATTGAGCACAGTATGTTAGCTTGGGATAGAAACAAGGTAGCTACGTTTACATAAGTTCATCAGCAGAAGTGAATTCTTATGGTTTTTTATTTATACTACCTCTACCATGCATTACAAGCTACCTATCTAAATAAATATAACTACTGATTGTTTAATGTGCCATTACAATAAGACATCGTATTGACATAATTCTTGAAATGAGCAAGAACAGAATAGGATTAATAGTATTTAGCTAAAATAGCAAACTTTGTAATCGAGTTTCCCTGAGGTAAAAGTTTGTCTTCATACAACGAGAATGAAATGTAAAACAGTCATTTGCATGCACCCATAATTATAACCCCAAATGATAAATAATATGCACGAATAAACTGTTGATTAGTTGACAACCATATATGTGTATAGATGTGTATATGTGTGTATAGGCGTAGGAAGCGGAGGGGCTATGGGAGCTTTAGCCCCCTATATTAGCCACCGCTCTCCTGTTATAAAAATTTAAAGCAACTACCGGGTAAGGATGGGTAAAAATTCATTTTTAAACAGACGTACATGTGACAAAGTATCTTCGCCCAAAAAATGATTTAAAATTGCTTAGATTAAAATTTACCAGGAATGTTTCGATTCCTAAAGTTTTGCAAGCATTTTCTCAGGGCCTACTTGAATTTCGAAATAAAGAAAATGCAAAATTCTTTGTATTTCGCTGTTAACAAAATGTCCTACCTTTTGTAAATGAGGACATCGTTGGTGATGGTGACAACATACACTTGCTCTTAGCGGACGCTAAAATTCCATCAAGATATTGATGTTAGAATTTAAATATACAACACAATAATTCACAACAAATACATAATTATTTTGTTTCCATATGATAAAAATAGCTACAACTGCATTGAGCACAGTATGTTAGCTTAGAATAGAAATAAAGTAACTGCGTGTACATAAGTTCATCAGCAGGAATGAATTCTTATGGTTTTATATTTATCTTACCTCTACCATGGTCTACAAGCTCCCTATCTAAGCAAATATAACTACCAATTTCTTATTGTACCATTTACCCATCTAAACAAATATAACTACCGATTGTTTAGTGTGCCATTACAATAAGACATCGTATTGACACAGCTCTTGAAATGAGCAAGAACAGAATAGGTACAATAATATTTAGCTAAAATAGCAAACTTTTTAATCGAGTTTCTCTTAGGTAAAAGTTTGTCTTCATACAACGAGAATGAAATGTAAAACAGTCATTTGCATGCACACATAATTATAACCCCATATGATAAATAATACGCACGAAATAAACTGTTTCTTAAGGCTGCTTTCCACTGTTGCGTTTTTTTTCCGTGCGTACATCCATAGATAAAAACGCACGGATTTTTAATCTCCAGTGCTGCGTTTTGCGTTGTGCATAAATTTAATGCGTGCTGCAATTCAAAATGGCGTCGAAAGAGGAGCGAAAATTAGCAATTCTACTTTTGCTTCGCCAAAGACGAAAACGAAGGAATAAATACAAAAAAAGGTTTTGGATTAAAGATATTTTAAAACGGCGAAAAGAACTGGGGGAATACCATCGGCTCATTCAAGAAATGCGGTTAAATGATCCTGAATCATTTTATCAATACTTTCGGATGACCCCTTCGCGGTTTGATTTACTTCTTGGTCTGGTTGGGCCATACTTGAAAAAGAATTCCTTATACCGCGAGCCTGTGAGTCCTGAAGAACGCCTCGCTGTTACTCTTCGCTTTTTAGCAACAGGCGATTCTCAACAAAGCATAGCATTCAGTTTTCGACTTGGCCATGCTACTGTGACCAAAATCGTAGAGGAGTCTTCCGAAGCTTTGTGGTCTGCGTTGCAACCGTTTCTCAAGCCTCCAACGACAACAAGCGAATGGAAAAATATCGCAACAGATTTTTGGCAGTTGTGGAACTTCCCAATGTGTTGCGGAGCCATTGATGGCAAACATGTAGTCATGCAATGTCCCCCTCGTGCTGGTTCGTCATTTTTTTAACTATAAAGGTAAATAAGAGTTCTTAGATAACGATATACATTGTAAATTTACTGCTTACATGTTGGACAAGTCAAGTGAAACTGCATGTTTGTGAATATTGTGATTAAGCGAGTATGATTTTTTAACAATTTTTTATTTCCATGTAGGAACACATAGCATTGTTCTGTTGGCAGTTTGTGATGCTAGGTACTTGTTTACTCTAGTGGAAATTGGCAGCTCAGGCAGAAATAGTGATGGAGTGGTGAGTCTAAATTTGGAAGAGCCATTGAAGATGGCAGTTTAAAGTTACCATTTGCAGATCCCCTTCCAAATAAACCAACAGAAGTTTGCCCATATTTATTCACTGCTGATGATGCATTCCCCCTTAAACCATGGATGATGAAACCCTACCCAGGAAAATTTCTTGATAAAAAGCTCAAAATATTCAATTACCGTCTGTCACGAGCAAGGAGAGTTGTTGAGAATGCATTTGGAATCACTGCAGCTAGGTGGAGAGTGCTAAGAAGACCTATAATGGCTTCAGCTAAAAAGGTGGCAAGTATAACTAAAGCAGTCTGTGCACTTCACAATTACCTGATGTTAGAAGAATTCGGTATTCCTAATTCATCAAAAAGGTATTGCCCAGCTGGATTTGTTGACACAGAAGACAGGTATAATTGCTATTTTCTCCGGTTAAAATAACTTAAATCTTGAGCTTATAAAATGATGTTTTTTCTCTTAGTATATTTTATCTTATAGTTACTATAGTATATGCAAGTTTTGAATGCCTGTATCTAATTTTAAGTCAGTTGGTTATGGTCTTATCATCTTAAGCATCTACCACTAGTCACTATATGAAATGTGCATGATAATACAACTAAATGAAATTGCCACAGTATTCGATAACCTAAAATGTTATAACTAAAGAAATTTTTATAGGTATGGACAGAACCTGCCAGGAGGATGGCGATCTTTGACAGAAGGAGACACGGGTCTGCAACAAATTTCACGACAAGGAAGCAATAACTATTCACGAAATGCCAAATCTGTGCAAAATTTACTGACAAATTATTTCTGCTCACCAGAAGGGGAAGTACCTTGGCAATATGCGTATGTGCAAAATAATGGTAGACAAGAAAAATAAACCTGTTTCTGTAAAACAATTTTACATTTATAATATCATCTTATTAATAAGTTGTATTTATTTAATTAGCAAATGTATGTTTCAACTGAACAAAGAATAATCTGTTTCTTACAAACATCAACGACTTTTCTAAGTAACTTGAAAGTTAGTTCAATAACTTAAGTTTTCCACTTCATTTTACTTTACATCCTTCTCATGCTAACTGTTTGTTGACATTGAAGAGATTGCTTCACTTAAAACAATTTGAATTTTACTCATTGCCTTACTTTTTGCTTCTTTATCCAACAAATGTAGCTGAGCAGCAACACTTTTACCAAATGCATCTTCTATAGTTACCATAGCTGATTGATTTTGCAAGGATTTCTCACCACCAGATATATATTCCATGATTTTTACATCCAAGGCCCGATCAAGTTGCTTTTGTGACATTGCTGCATAAGACCTTTTCTTACTTGGTTGTTTTGAAGCAACATTTTGAACGTTTTCAATAATCTCAAACGAAGGAAAGATTCTTGAGAAAATGCCTCAATACCAACCGTTAAATCATCAGTAGAAGGTTCAGATGTGATGGTAAGTGGATCTTGGCATGGACTTGAAAGAACAACTGGTTGGAAATTGCTGTCCGAATTCTTTGTTCGAATATTAACATAAGGTTTCAGAAATGACATTGCCAAAAGGTATGGATAATGTGGAATTTCATCCACACCTGCTCCACTTTTTCCCATTTCCACTTAACACACGGACATATGAATCGCGTAGGTTTTCCAAATTCTGTCTCTGTAGTCGTTTACTGGGTCAAAAAATATTTAAGAATACACTTCGTTTATTACAACACAACACAACATATGCATTTATATTACCTGAATACGTTGATTGACAAGCTGCATTCACAGCATCAGTCACTATTTGCCACGCATTTTCCTTAATATTTTTGTTCTTATAGTTAGTGTCTTTTGTATTCCAAAGCGCTGGGTATTTTTCAATTTCTTCAATAAGTTTCTCCTCAACTTTTGTATATTTTCCCATCTTTTTTCAACTTGTAAATCAATTGGCAAAAGCATGCTTCATTGTAAAGCACGTGATCTGTAAATTCATTTTCATTGGATAATTGCTCGCGTTTTTCAATTTTGCTGCGTAAAAGTTAAGTTGTGCTCAACTTGTGCGTTTACGCGCTTGGGGGATACGTACGGAAACGTAAGGGTACGCGCGTTGAAAAACGCAACAGTGGAAAGCAGCCTTTAGTTGATAACCATTATCTGTGTATAGATGTGTATATGTGTGTATAGGCGTAGGAAGCGGAGGGGCTAAGGGAGCTTTAGCTCCCTAAAATATATATAGGGGCTTAGCCCCCCGAAAAAGTGTAGGTTAACATTGATAAAATATAATGCACCTCCTTCCCTATATTCTTTCCATAACTTGAATCATGGACAAACATACAGCGGAGCGCATTTATGGCTCATCATGTCAATGCAGTTGCAGTTGAAATTCAAAAAGATGTCTAATTGTCGGTATACAACCTATCTTTTTCGTTAAAACTTTGTCGCCAAGAATAATGAAAAAATCACCCAAGGCCTTGCCCATTGGGGTTGACTTGTGGCTAAAGTGGCTTTCAAAAATCATACCTTCTAATTAACCGTTGCGTGAGACAAGGGGTTCTTTCAGAACTGTAGTGTTTGATGCCTTTTTAGAAAGAAGTGTCGTACCCAAAAAGCAATGATTTGAATTGATAGACCTTGATGAGAATGAACTAGAGCTCTGATTTGACCAAAAAAATTTATAGCTGTTATGAAAAGTTAAAGAACTTGTTTTAGATCCTATACTGCATGCAAATTGTTATGAAATTTACCAATCAGACAAAATTTAGGAACTCCCAGAATTAAGTAGAAATTGCCCAAAAGAATAACTATATATCAATGCTGTCAGAGAACCGCTAACAAGAACAAATCATGCACAATTTAAACATTATGAACACGTCCATAATGCTTGAATTAGCATGTTTTTCAACAACATGAACACCTCCGTCTTTGTCGATGTTTTACGGCAAAGCTCATGAACCTCTTTACACAGATTTAAGAGTACTGCTGACATCGGCCCATTTTTAACTCTTCAGAGAGTGAAAATTTGCAAGCTGCATCAAATCACATTCTTAGTAACAGATTTAAATTGGAGGGAGTTGGGGCTGGCTAAATTGTTGAAGAGTATTTCGACCCTTTTTATAACCAGAACGTTTTGTGATACTCATTGCAAGCTACGTATTCTAGAACAATATTAGTAAGATTAAAATAATCTGTCTGAGTTTTGTGCCTAGGTATAATGTACGTTTTTATTCTTGAAGAGTCAATCATCGGATAAGGCCAGTGGCTTTCTGAAAGTGGTGTAAAGAAGTTACTGCTTGGCCAGATTTATGCTAAAGACTGATTATCTATTTGGACAAATTTGAGCAAGCAAAACATAGTTCGTCTTCAAGTTCGTCTGTGTGTATATACGGGCAAACTGACAGATCGTCCATCAAGATGCGTAGGAATTATTTGAATAGTTTGTTTACTTAGACGAATTTACATGGGTATTTTGACTTGACGCATCATCCTTCTGTGAATATAAATGTGGAATGAGGACAAACTACGGAAAAAATAATACTTCGTAGTTCATAACTCGCTCCAAAATCTTCCAAAGGCAGAATTGGACTTTGTGTGGTTTATTAATAGAAAGTTCGTCTTGTGTTTATACTTAGACGTATGATCTGTTAGACGGATCATTAGTCCACGGATGGGATTATTTGCCGTTTAATCACGTAAGGCTTTAGGTGATTATTCTGACATTATTTGCGACAAAATATGCCAAATAAGATAGAAAGTATATACAATATTTATAAATTGCGACAGAAACTGCAATAAAATGTTACAAGAAATTAAGATGCGTTTTATTATGTCAATGTTAACCTAAATTTTGGGGGGGCTATAGGCCTCTCAGTTACACCACCACCCCACCACCCCACCATCTTGTTTTATACGCCTTTAGAATCATCTTGCGTTAACACAAAGCAGTTATGCATCTGCCGATTCGTTTTTGGGACAGTATGCTATCCGATTTGTATGCACAGTCGACACACAATTTTCAATTTTGCTTATAACTCTTCCGATAAAACTATTCTACATCACAGATAAACATTTCAAGCTTTTACATTCAAAGCCAGTGACAAAAGATGCCTGACTTTTAACATGTGACAACTAATAAAATTTTTTTATAAGTTCCTATTTCCGTTCTTTCATAAGTTTACAGTCTCGAATTACAATTACCTATTATTTTCTTATGTAAGTTGCGACACTTGCTTGTTGCATTAATTATAGTATGAGTTGTAATGAAATACAACTAAACAATAAAGATCACCTCTTAACTTGCTACAAGTGCTGCGTTTGTACAGAGTTCAAGAATATTTGAAGACGAAAGAGGCCATCTTATACGTCAGCAATCCTTTGTTGCGTTTGTACAGAGTTCAAGAATATTTGAAGACGAAAGAGGCCATCTTATACGTCAGCAATCCTTTGTTGTTCATGATTATAATGCAAACAAAAGAACAATTATGGTGATGTCAAATTTTATTTCCATAATTTCAATGTTGGGTATATAACCCAACTAAATGATACTACTCAATACTCTTTTTTTGGTGCTATAATCTGCATGTATTTTTTCTTCAGCACCTATTGCTTGATGGCTACAGTTGGATATTGTGCTGCTCATGTGATGCAAATAGAAAGCAATTTGTTGAAGCCCTACCTAATAATATACAATTAGATCCTCAAAAAGGTATGTAAAATAGATGTTACTGAAATGAAATTATTAAAACAGGCCAAACAACATTTTTGTACTTGTCAGATATACCATATCCCAGTTGCTTACACATATTAGCAATGGAAAAATATCTGGTTGTGTATGATAGAAAGTTTGGTATTGAAGCCAATGATTTTATTGAAAAAAGTAAATGTTGTGTGTTACTCTTTCAGGATATAAGGTGTCTGAACAGCTTCACCAAATTTTGACTTACACTTACATACTATTTGTTTGAAGACCCTTGTCAAAGATGGGAGAACTTGTTACATATTAATCTGACATTGCATGAAGTGAATGTCTCAAATTTGTATTTGGCTTATTTTTTCAATGTAAAGTTCTTCATGTTGTATGGGAGGAAATGTCTTCATCCTTAAATATCAGTTTATTGTACATTTCAAACTTTTGTGAAGTCATCCTTCTGTGTTTTTACAAGACCCTTGTTCGACATTGTTCTTATTACATGTGGATGTTAACCAGCACAGCTTTACAAACAAAAATATTGTTAAAACTTGTGAATGATTATTTACACAATATATTTATCTCATCCAATTTCTTTTATGAATGCAGAATCCACATCCATGATGCAGTCTGTTTTCAGTGATCATTCCTACCATGAGATGCAACCTGAAGAAGTATATTTTGTTATGTGAAAATAACTTTTTTGTACAAATACACGTATAGTTTCTCAACCTTCTAATACCCCACAATTTGTTACCATACATCCTGTGCCTAAGTTCAGGAGCTTCTATAAAGCTATTAGGGTGATAGCCAACAGGGCAAATTGAATTTATTTATGACTATTGAGGTATACACATTCATACTCACATACATACATAGCCACATACTTACAGTACATACATTAAGTAGTATAAACTAAATGTATGATAAAAATAGTAAAGTTATATTCACCATTTGCTTTACGTGCCTGATATATATATTAAGCACTTTCTAAGGATTTTGTGAAGTCATAATTAATCATAATTATTAATCTGCATACACATACACACACATACATACACACACATAATACAACCTTAAGATAAATGATTTTACATATTTTAGGATTTGTTTAGTGCAGTGTGCAGGGAGGTTCAGTGGATTGCTGTAAAACCAGTGAATAGTCCATGGGGGGTTTGTACTTTTGTGTATTCAAAAATAACGCCGCCCCAGCCCAAGTTAAAATGTTGCAGCTGTTCGTCATATCATTGCATTCATGTGACAACCCTTGTAAAAGCCATGCAAATCGTTGACGAGGATGAAATGGATTCTCCATTGGCACTTTTTAAGTTTTCCTTTGGAATTACACCAGAGATGCGAGACAATTTTGAATTGGCTACACTTAGCAAAGAAAAGCAAACAAGTAGACAACGCGTACGACACCCCTTGCTCACCTCCTCCACCTTTCTATCCGATCGACACTGTTGGGGCAGAATGTGTGGACCCTGCGTCCGTTTTCCCCCATCTCATACACACTCAGGATTTCCCAAATGGTGAATCGTCTTCAGGTATTAAATTTTCGACAAGACCGTCGAATAATTCTGCCCCGAATAGTATAGTCAAACGAAAATGCCCCGAACCTTGTAGCAATAGCAATGAAAACAAAAACACAGTTAAAGCTCTTCGGAACAACATTCAACCGATCGCCAAACGTCCGAGAATGAATCTTAAACGACAACAACAAGCGAACAAAGAAAACAAAGTGGAAAGCGCACAGAAAAGACCTGACTTATCTATTCGGCTTAATGTAAAGGACAAGAGCACAGATGACCCGGAATGCAAGCGAAATGTTCACAACGTCCTCGAACGCAAGCGAAGAAACGATTTGAAGTACAGTTTTCAACTTCTACGCGACAGCATGCCTGAACTTAAAGGTTTAGAACGAACCCCCAAAGTGGCAATACTAAGAAAAGCAACGGACTGTATATCAAAGCTAACTTCCGAACAGGAACGATTACTTGAAGACAAGACGATGCTCGAGAAACGAAAGCAGTCACTACATGAAATGTTACAACGACTAAAGCAATTATCGTAGTTAAAACACGAACACGAAGGTATAAACCCCGAACAGTTGCTGTCTATACGTCAAAGTTTTATAATATGACAGTTGTCTGGAATTAATACCAACATTTCCGTTTATATTGGTCTGGTTTTTCTGCTTTTTGCGTTCGTAAAACACAAAATATTATATTTACAGTCAGAATATAGGGATGCACTGCACAAAATGAGTGAAATACGTCGATTTTTTGGATGTATTTTGATGTTGGTCCAACGACAGTGAGCGAGATCCTAACAGATTTGCATACTTGTTAAAAAAGCGCGCGAAAGATGTCATAATCCGAAACACGTGTTTGCTAAAGAGAAAAACTCGGACAAACATGGCGGAGTAATTTTATAACAATGGTTACGACGAAGAGGTGCGTTTGGGGAACCTGCAAAAGCGATTCGCGGTATCCTGATCGTTTAAAACGAGACGCAAGTAGAAGTAAAGTATTTTTTTTTACATTTTCTTGGGGAGGAATACCATAGCGACAAGCGAGAGCGCTGGATTCGTGGATTCGACTGGTGCAGCTTAAAAAAGAAATTTCAGGGCTTCCATTTACTACATGTTTCGAAGTTCATGTATGAGAACAATATTTCTTCGTGTATTCATATTTTTTAGGAGTTTGCAACATCAAAAGTTCGAAGCAAGGCAATCGATCAACAGGGCTCACTCACTCAGTACTATGCTTAGTACTTTTTTAAATATCTATCGGAGAAGTCTGGCTGGGAGAATGGTACTTGACTAATTCTAGGCTAACTTTGTCAATCCAAGAACACGTGCAGTACTGGTTTTTATAAATCGGGGTATTATTTTTTGGGTACACTTGCAAAATGTATCAATTCAGGAAGAAATTCAGACGCCCAAATGACTTCTTTTACAATAACGTGGAGAGGAAAGGAAACACACAAAAAGATGATGCGGTAGGAATTTTTAAAGTGTTCTTTTTATTGTTTCTGGTTGCACAAGTTCATATTAATTTATATTTATTACAACAGTTATATTAACAAAAGTATGTGTACAAATTTATTTATGCCCACAATGTTGTGTAAGGAAAAACGATTATTCTGAGCACATTTTCCAATTTCAAGTCTGGATTCTCTACATCCTTTAATCACAATGTCATATATGTTAATAGAAAAGCAGTGTGTCATATGAATCTCAATTTTTTGAACAAGAAAATGAATTTGGGGATTTAGTAAGTTTACATATATTGTAAAACTATGTAGATATAAAAGTACGCTATGTTTATGGTTTTTTTTTCATTTATATGTAGAATGAACAAAGTGGAGATATTGCTGAAAATTATGACAAGCACCAAGAGTTAACCACCAAAACACAGGTTTTTAATGTACATATTGATATTGTTTCTCATGAAAAGTCATTGGAAATGGTTATATGTAGGACTACTTTCACTAGAAAAAACTAAAAAATTTTGAAGTAATTTAAAGAAGTCATGCATTATTTCAACACTTATTAAAAGTCTGTACACATTTTAAATTAAATAATGGTCTTTATTTGTAGGATTCTGAAGATATTTTTATCAAGCAATCTATCTCTATTATTACAGAGGAATCTAAACAACCATGTCAACATAGTCAAGTAGTTCTCACTTATACAGTTATACTTTATACTGTTTACCACTAGTCATGTTTTTAATGTGTTATAAATTGACAATATGCTTGTTGATTGCTTATGCATGAGACACTGTGTAGCAAAACTTTATTAACATCTGGTAGAAATGTGCTCAACAAACATAAAAATATATTACAATAGATATTTTTGAAACAGTGAACATTAATAATTACTGTATACTTGCTCTTTCAGAGTCATTTGTCACCCACTGGCCACTATACTGGGCTATTGTTACAGTTTGACTTTGCATCAAATGTATCACGTCAGCATGATTATAATGCAAACAAAAGATCAATTATGGTGATGTCAAATTTTATTTCCATAATTTCAATGTTGGGTATATACCCAACTAAATGATATTACTCAATACTCTTTTTTTGGTGCTATAACCTGCATGTATTTTTTTCTTCAGCATAATTCATTTGTATTTGTTCATCGATATCCCCACCTATTGCTTGATGGCTACGGTTGGATATTGTGCTGCTCATGTGATGCAAATAGAAAGCAATTTGTTGAAGCCCTACCTAATAATATACAATTAGATCCTCAAAAAGGTATGTAAAATAGATGTTACTGAAATGAAATTATTAAAACAGGCCAAACAACATTTTTGTACTTGTCAGATATACCATATCCCAGTTGCATACACGTATTAGCAATGGAAAAATATCTGGTTGTGTATGATAGAAAGTTTGGTATTGAAGCCAAAGATTTTATTGAAAAAAGTAAGTGTTGTGTGTTACTCTTTCAGGATATAAGGTGTCTGAACAGCTTCACCAAATTTTGACTTACACTTACATACTATTTGTTTGAAGACCCTTGTCAAAGATGGGAGAACTTGTTACATATTAATCTGACATTGCATGAAGTGAATGTCTCAAATTTGTATTTGGCTTATTTTTTCAATGTAAAGTTCTTCATGTTGTATGGGAGGAAATGTCTTCATCCTTAAATATCAGTTTATTGTACATTCAAACCCTTGTGAAGTCATCCTTCTGTGTTTTTACAAGACCCTTGTTCGACATTGTTCTTATTACATTTGGACGTTAACCAGCACAGCTTTACAAGCAAAAATATTGTTAAAACTTGTGAATGATTATTTACACAACATATTTATCTCATCCAATTTCTTTTATGAATGCAGAATCCACATCCATGATGCAGTCTATTTTCAGTGATCATTCCTACCATGAGATGCAACCTGAAGAAGTATATTTTGTTATGTGAAAATAACTTTTTTGTACAAATACACGTATAGTTTCTCAACCTTCTAATACCCTTCTAAAGATTCTGAAGATCTTTAAGCTTGGTGGCAAGCGGCAATGTTATCTTGGCATCAGTGTTATCAAGTAGCTGGACAAGGCTTTGTTCGAAACTTAGAATCATAGTAATCATAGTAAACAGTTATTAACTGAAAAACCTTCTACTCCACAATCTGGCTGCTGATTATAAACAATTAGTAACTGAAAAACCTTTTTTGTCCACCATCTGCCTGCTGATTATAAACAATTAGTGACTGAAAAACATTTTTTGGCCACCATCTGCCTGCTGATTATAAGCAATTAGTAACTGAAAAACCTTTTTTGTCCACCATCTGCCTGCTGATTATAAACAGTTATTAACTGAAAAACCTTCTACTCCACAATCTGCCTGCTGATTATAAACAATTAGTAACTGAAAACCTTTTTGTCCACCATCTGCCTGCTGATTATAAATTATTAACTGAAAAACCTTCTACTCCACAATCTGGCTGCTGATTATAAACAATTATTAACTAAAAACCTTTTTTGTCCACCATCTGCCTGCTGATTATAAACAATTATTAACTGAAAAACCTTCTACTCCACAATCTGGCTGCTGATGATAAACAATTATTAACTGAAAAACCTTTTTTGTCCACCATCTGCCTGCTGATTATAAACAATTAATTGAAAAACCTTTTTTGTCTACCATCTGGCTGCAGATTATAAATTATTATCAACTGAATACCTCCCTTGCTTACCATCTACCTGCTGATTATAAACAATTATTAACTGAAAAACCTTTTTTTTCCACCATCTGGCTGCAGATTATATATATTTATCAACTGAAAACCTCCCCTGCTTACCATCTGCCTGCTGATTATAAACAATTAGTAACTGAAAAACTTTTTGTCCACCATCTGCCTGCTGATTATAAACAATTATTAACTGAAAAACCTTCTACTCCACAATCTGGCTGCTGATTATAAACCATTATTAACTGAAAACCTTTTTTGTCCACCATCTGCCTGCTGATTATAAACAATTAATAACTGAAAAACCTTCTACTCCACAATCTGGCTGCTGATTATAAACAATTATTAACTGAAAACTTTTTGTCCACCATCTGCCTGCTGATTATAAACAACTATTAACTGAAAACCTTCTACTCCACAATCTGGCTGCTGATTATAAACAATTATTAACTGAAAACCTTTTTGTCCACCATCTGCCTGCTGATTATAAACAATTATTAACTGAAAACCTTCTACTCCACAATCTGGCTGCTGATTATAAACAATTATTAACTGAAAACCTTTTTGTCCACCATCTGCCTGCTGATTATAAACAATTATTAACTGAAAACCTTCTACTCCACAATCTGGCTGCTGATTATAAACAATTATTAACTGAAAACCTTTTTTGTCCACCATCTGGCTGCTGATTATAAGCAATTAGTAACTGAAAAACCTTTTTTGTCCACCATCTGGCTGCAGATTATAAATATTTATCAACTGAAAACCTCCCTGCTTACCATCTGCCTGCTGATTATAAACAATTAGTAACTGAAAACCTTTTTGTCCACCATCTGCCTGCTGATTATAAACAATTATTAACTGAAAACCTTCTACTCCACAATCTGGCTGCTGATTATAAACCATTATTAACTGAAAACCTTTTTTGTCCACAATCTGCCTGCTGATTATAAACAATTATTAACTGAAAACCTTCTACTCCACAATCTGGCTGCTGATTATAAACAATTATTAACTGAAAACCTTTTTGTCCACCATCTGCCTGCTGATTATAAACAATTATTAACTGAAAACCTTCTACTCCACAATCTGGCTGCTGATTATAAACAATTATTAACTGAAAACCTTTTTGTCCACCATCTGCCTGCTGATTATAAACAATTATTAACTGAAAACCTTTTTGTCCCCATCTGGCTGCAGATTATAAATATTTATCAACTGAAAACCTCCCTGCTTACCATCTGCCTGCTGATTATAAACAATTAGTAACTGAAAAACCTTTTTTGTCCACCAACTGCCTGCTGATTATAAACAATTAGTAACTGAAAACCTTTTTGTCCACCATCTGCCTGCTGATTATAAACAATTATTAACTGAAAACCTTCTACTCTACCATCTGGCTGCTGATTATAAACAATTAGTAACTGAAAACCTTTTTGTCCACCATCTGCCTGCTGATTATAAACAATTATTAACTGAAAACCTTCTACTCTACCATCTGGCTGCTGATTATAAACAATTAGTAACTGAAAACCCTTTTTTGTCCACCAACTGCCTGCTGATTATAAACAATTAGTTACTGAAAAACCTTTTTTGTCCACCATCTGCCTGCTGATTATAAATAATTAGTAACTGAAAAACCTTTTTTGTCCACCAACTGCCTGCTGATTATAAACAATTAGTAACTGAAAAACCTTTTTTGTCCACCATCTGCCTGCTGATTATAAACAGTTATTAACTGAAAAACCTTCTACTCCACCATCTGGCTGCTGATTATAAACAATTAGTAACTGAAAAACTTTTTGTCCACCATCTGCCTGCTGATTATAAACAATTATTAACTGAAAACCTTCTACTCCACAATCTGGCTGCTGATTATAAACAATTATTAACTGAAAACCTTTTTTGTCCACCATCTGCCTGCTGATTATAAACAATTATTAACTGAAAAACCTTCTACTCCACAATCTGGCTGCTGATTATAAACAATTATTAACTGAAAACCTTTTTTGTCCACCATCTGCCTGCTGATTATAAACAATTATTAACTGAAAAACCTTTTTTGTCCCCCATCTGGCTGCAGATTATAAATATTTATCAACTGAAAACCTCCCCTGCTTACCATCTGCCTGCTGATTATAAACAATTAGTAACTGAAAAACCTTTTTTGTCCACCAACTGCCTGCTGATTATAAACAATTAGTAACTGAAAAACCTTTTTTGTCCACCATCTGCCTGCTGATTATAAACAATTATTAACTGAAAAACCTTCTACTCTACCATCTGGCTGCTGATTATAAACAATTAGTAACTGAAAAACCTTTTTTGTCCACCAACTGCCTGCTGATTATAAACAATTAGTTACTGAAAAACCTTTTTTGTCCACCATCTGCCTGCTGATTATAAATAATTAGTAACTGAAAAACCTTTTTTGTCCACCAACTGCCTGCTGATTATAAACAATTAGTAACTGAAAAACCTTTTTTGTCCACCATCTGCCTGCTGATTATAAACAATTATTAACTGAAAAACCTTCTACTCTACCATCTGGCTGCTGATTATAAACAATTAGTAACTGAAAAACCTTTTTTGTCCACCAACTGCCTGCTGATTATAAACAATTAGTAACTGAAAAACCTTTTTTGTCCACCATCTGCCTGCTGATTATAAATAATTAGTAACTGAAAAACCTTTTTTGTCCACCAACTGCCTGCTGATTATAAACAATTAGTAACTGAAAAACCTTTTTTGTCCACCATCTGCCTGCTGATTATAAACAGTTATTAACTGAAAAACCTTCTACTCCACCATCTGGCTGCTGATTATAAACAATTAGTAACTGAAAAACCTTTTTTGTCCACGATCTGCCTGCTGATTATAAACAGTTATTAACTGAAAAACCTTCTACTCCACAATCTGGCTGCTGATTATACAAAAGATGGTTCCTGATTGATTTGTTCTTTTTGACGACGTATTTGACGACGTCAGTAAATCAAATTTATTTGGTGCCTACCTTTTATTGTATCATACGCTGTGATGAAACGATGAAACAGATGAATGATAAACATACGTGGTACGTTGGTCGTTCGACTCGTTACATAATACCTAAGGTAAAGTGGCATTTTTTTGTGATTACACATGACACATCCTCACGTTGTAAAAGGAGAGTTACAAGCTCCAACTTAAGGTAAGCTACAGCTGTACACATGTATCATCTCTTATGTTATGTTTCATAATTATTTGCAATTGCAAACTATCAAAAATAGAGTGTGATACGGAAAAAATAAAACTGGCATCTCGCGAATATTTTATGGCTTCGCAGCGCAAAGTCGAAAATCCGCCGCGCAAAATTGAAAATCCGCCGCGCAAAATTTCAAAAAAAATTGATCTAGCTTGCGCAGTTTGCATACTTTCCAGTCTGGTCAATGAATAGATAGAAACCAGATCAATTGAAATTAACAAGTAAATTTTTTTATTTGAAGTGCGTTAATAGTTGTAGACTTATGAATAATGATATCAAAATTGAATAGAAACCAAACATATTCAAACAAGATTTTGTGTAAACTATCAACTGATAAACATTTAAATGGCAGATCAACCCGTGCTGACAAGACGTTTGATGTAACAGTTGGTCATATTGAAGACATTATCATGGGTATTGTAAATGTAATTGTGAAATTATGTTGTGTTTGTCGGTTTTTTTGGTGCCCAACAAGATTATTATTTGCAGAGGATACATTTCAAGCGCTACAGAATGAATTCATGGAAGAACATTATCACCACTTTGAGGACGTAGAGGAGAATAAGCTTGTGTATACAGATATATTTACTAAATATGTAAGATTGGATGTTTGAATAAAACAGCAAACAAGTGGTGCTTTTCAATGCAATATCTATAGCACTCAACTTGATCATTATAGACTAACTTGATTGAAAAGCATTTGGAAGAATGTCTACAAAAGAGAATGCCAGACTTTTCTATGGATCAATTTATGTCATCTATTCAGTAAGGCAAAGTATTTTTACAAACAAAAATTTTTCAATGTAATAATCCTAGTTTGTTATAGACAACGAAAGGATCAAATTGGAGGTGATATATTTGATATGTTGCTAAGTTTCACTGGTTTCCTCACTTTCAAACAAATGTTCTTAGATTATAAGGTGGTGAGTAATAGAACCTAAAGCCTTAAGAAGTGTGATGAAAAATCAATGCTTATGTCGAGTTTAATGTTTCACAGGACAAAGAAGGAAAAAGCGTTGACTTAGGTGGACTTGTTATCACATCTTTGTCAAATGAACATTTATAAAGAACGGTTCTCGCTAAGAAATAATCATGTAATGGATGATGAAAATGTTGAACTGACAGACACACATATTTAACTCGTTTAGCAATGTGAAATGACTACAAATATTATTGTAAATGCTTCTGTAAATAATGGTTAACGAAAATTTCATTAATATATTTTATCTCATATGTCTTTAATTTATATGTTAAACTGTTAGCCATTAATAATTAGAAAACATTCTTTTTTCCAAAACCTAGTGCATCAATTCAGGTTAGGCATGGTTTATGAGATCAGTTGGACTCTAAATGTGATATCTCCATAGACTGTATTATATTAGTGAATTATTTTTGATAGAAATTAGCTTAGGAGGAGGAAAAATCGTGTTGGCAAGTTTTTTTATTATACCTCCAATATGCCCCGTTTCCCTATTAATATTTAAAATAACAATAATGCTACCTGCAACCAGCTGCTTGCTAATTTTGTTTTTCTAAAACATCTAAATAAAAACGCACTGAACTCAAACGAGAATTTAACCACGTGGGCTAAACAATTGCTGAATAAATTACGCGAACAATAAGTTGGACAAGAAGCGATCCAAGTCGAAAGAAAAACGCGAGAAAAGGGCGTATCATGGCTTTTGCAGTCACAATATTTAGCAGTTTCTTATGCCTCTTGTCTTTGCTAAACATTTTCGTCTATGTACGATGTTCTTATAAAACCATTGGCCCGTGTTTTTATGATAACAGAAATGTTAGCAAACTGATAAAATTGGACGGTGTTAAGGTAAGCTTTCTTAATCTGCGCGGAGCAAATAATCAAATGGTTTGTACCTTTTAATGAATGACAAGCGTCTCTACTCAGTTCGGTTATCAAAGACATCTCAATCTAGATGACGAAAGCAAAATGTACCACGTGACGATTATCGCGATGAAGCCTACAATATTTGCTAAGTTTGTGCAACTCATATATGAGGCGCCGTTCGTTGCGAAAATCAAAAATGTTATTCTCATGTATTGAATTGTTCTCATGATACATTGAATTCGTTATCCACATGATTCATAGACTGAAATCCTTTCATTCCATATTAAAAAGCCATAGACTTTTGATTTTGCTAAATTTTCACTTTGTTTTTGTAAAAATCTCACTTTGTTTTTGTATAAATTTCACTTTGTGTGTCTCTATATCATACGATGACTTTTAACTATAAACATTCAAAGGCTGGCTACGTCACTGTCTCCACATCGTACGATGACTTTTAACTATAAACACTCAAAGGCTGGCTACGTCACTGTTTCTACATCGTACTATTACTTTTAACTATAAACATTCAAAGGCTGGCTACGTCACTGTCTTTACATCGTACGATGACTTTTAACTATAAACATTCAAAGGCTGGCTACGTCACTGTTTCTACATCGTACTATGACTTTTAACTATAAACATTCAAAGGCTGGCTACGTCACTGTCTTTACATCGTACGATGACTTTTAACTATAAACATTCAAAGGCTGGCTACGTCACCTTCTTTACATCGTACGATGACTTTTAACTATTAACATTCAAAGGCTGGCCACGTCACTGTCTTTACATCGTACTATGACTTTTAACTATAAACATTCAAAGGCTGGCTACGTCACTGTCTTTACATCGTACGATGACTTTTAACTATAAACATTCAAAGGCTGGCTACGTCAATCTCTTTACATCGTACTATGACTTTTAACTATAAAAATTCAAAGGCTGGCTACGTCACTGTTTCTACATCGTACTATGACTTTTAACTATAAACATTCAAAGGCTTGCTACGTCACTGTCTTTACATCGTACGATGACTTTTAACTATAAACATTCAAAGGCTGGCTACGTCACTGTCTTTACATCGTACGATGACTTTTAACTATAAACATTCAAAGGCTGGCTACGTCACTGTCTTTACATCGTACTATGACTTTTAACTATAAACATTCAAAGCTGGCTACGTCACTGTCTTTACATCGTACGATGACTTTTAACTATAAACATTCAAAGGCTGGCTACGTCACTGTCTTTACATCGTACGATGACTTTTAACTATAAACATTCAAAGGCTGGCTACGTCACTGTCTTTACATCGTACGATGACTTTTAACTATAAACATTCAAAGGCTGGCTACGTCACTGTCTTTACATCGTATTATGACTTTTAACTATAAACATTCAAAGGCTGGCTACGTCACTGTCTTTACATCGTACGATGACTTTTAACTATAAACATTCAAAGGCTGGCTACGTCACTGTCTTTACATCGTACGATGACTTTTAACTATAAACATTCAAAGGCTGGCTACGTCACTGTCTTTACATCGTACGATGACTTTTAACTATAAACATTCAAAGGCTGGCTACGTCACTCTCTTTACATCGTACTATGACTTTTAACTATAAACATTCAAAGGCTGGCTACGTCACCTTCTTTACATCGTACGATGACTTTTAACTATAAACATTCATACCTTTTAATGAATGACAAGCGTCTCTACTCAGGTCGGTTATCAAAGACTTCTCAATCTAGATGACGAAAGCAAAATGTACCACGTGACGACTATCGCGATGAAGCCTACAATATTTGGTAAGTTTGTGCAACTCATATATGAGGCGCCGTTCGTTGCAAAAATCAAAAATATTATTCTCATGTATTGAATTGCTCTCATCATACATTGAATTCGTTATCCACATGATTCATAGACTGAAATCCTTTCATTCCATATTAAAAAGCCATAGACTTTTGATTTTGCTAAATTTTCACTTTGTTTTTGTAAAAATCTGACTTTGTTTTTGTATAAATTTCACTTTGTGTGTCTCTATATCATACGATGACTTTTAACTATAAACATTCAAAGGCTGGCTACGTCACTGTCTCTACATCGTACAATGACTTTTCACTATAAACATTCAAAGGCTGGCTACGTCACTGTCTTTACATCGTACGATGACTTTTAACTATAAACATTCAAAGGCTGGCTACGTCACTGTCTTTACATCGTACGATGACTTTTAACTATAAACATTCAAAGGCTGGCTACGTCACTGTTTCTACATCGTACTATGACTTTTAACTATAAACATTCAAAGGCTGGCTACGTCACTGTCTTTACATCGTACGATGACTTTTAACTATAAACATTCAAAGGCTGGCTACGTCACTGTCTTTACATCGTACGATGACTTTTAACTATAAACATTCAAAGGCTGGCTACGTCACTGTCTTTACATCGTACTATGACTTTTAACTATAAACATTCAAAGGCTGGCTACGTCACTGTCTTTACATCGTACGATGACTTTTAACTATAAACATTCAAAGGCTGGCTACGTCACTGTCTTTACATCGTACGATGACTTTTAACTATAAACATTCAAAGGCTGGCTACGTCACTGTCTTTACATCGTATTATGACTTTTAACTATAAACATTCAAAGGCTGGCTACGTCACTGTCTTTACATCGTACGATGACTTTTAACTATAAACATTCAAAGGCTGGCTACGTCACTGTCTTTACATCGTACGATGACTTTTAACTATAAACATTCAAAGGCTGGCTACGTCACTGTCTTTACATCGTACGATGACTTTTAACTATAAACATTCAAAGGCTGGCTACGACACTCTCTTTACATCGTACTATGACTTTTAACTATAAACATTCAAAGGCTGGCTACGTCACCTTCTTTACATCGTACGATGACTTTTAACTATAAACATTCATACCTTTTAATGAATGACAAGCGTCTCTACTCAGGTCGGTTATCAAAGACTTCTCAATCTAGATGACGAAAGCAAAATGTACCACGTGACGACTATCGCGATGAAGCCTACAATATTTGGTAAGTTTGTGCAACTCATATATGAGGCGCCGTTCGTTGCAAAAATCAAAAATGTTATTCTCATGTATTGAATTGCTCTCATCATACATTGAATTCGTTATCCACATGATTCATAGACTGAAATCCTTTCATTCCATATTAAAAAGCCATAGACTTTTGATTTTGCTAAATTTTCACTTTGTTTTTGTAAAAATCTCACTTTGTTTTTGTATAAATTTCACTTTGTGTGTCTCTATATCATACGATGACTTTTAACTATAAACATTCAAAGGCTGGCTACGTCACTGTCTCTACATCGTACGATGACTTTTAACTATAAACATTCAAAGGCTGGCTACGTCACTGTTTCTACATCGTACTATGACTTTTAACTATAAACATTCAAAGGCTGGCTACGTCACTGTCTTTACATCGTACGATGACTTTTAACTATAAACATTCAAAGGCTGGCTACGTCACTGTTTCTACATCGTACTATGACTTTTAACTATAAACATTCAAAGGCTGGCTACGTCACTGTCTTTACATCGTACGATGACTTTTAACTATAAACATTCAAAGGCTGGCTACGTCACTGTCTTTACATCGTACGATGACTTTTAACTATAAACATTCAAAGGCTGGCTACGTCACTGTTTCTACATCGTACTATGACTTTTAACTATAAACATTCAAAGGCTGGCTACGTCACTGTCTTTACATCGTACGATGACTTTTAACTATAAACATTCAAAGGCTGGCTACGTCACTGTCTTTACATCGTACGATGACTTTTAACTATAAACATTCAAAGGCTGGCTACGTCACTGTCTTTACATCGTACTATGACTTTTAACTATAAACATTCAAAGGCTGGCTACGTCACTGTCTTTACATCGTACGATGACTTTTAACTATAAACATTCAAAGGCTGGCTACGTCACTGTCTTTACATCGTACGATGACTTTTAACTATAAACATTCAAAGGCTGGCTACGTCACTGTTTCTACATCGTACTATGACTTTTAACTATAAACATTCAAAGGCTGGCTACGTCACTGTCTTTACATCGTACGATGACTTTTAACTATAAACATTCAAAGGCTGGCTACGTCACTGTCTTTACATCGTACGATGACTTTTAACTATAAACATTCAAAGGCTGGCTACGTCACT